CAAATCTTTCTTTAAAAATTGGGAAATACACATGTATAATAAAAATGTCAAATTAAGATATAATTAGTAACCACAGAGATCTGTACTAGGGCCACTATTTTTAGGTTAATTAAAAAAAAAATATTTAGATAAAATTCAAGGCTTGGCAAATACCTGGTAGATTTTGTTTAATCATGAATAATCAAAAACTTAAATAGGTGGGTTGATTAAGTAGTTATCTCTGGACTTAACGTTTGAAAGCACATGGCAGGAAATATACTGTAGTACATATGCAAGTCTTTTTGGATAAGCTTCTAAGTTTGCACACCTTGATAGTGCATTGTGTTTCCATTCTTCTTTTCAGACTTGCTCAACCGCTCTCAATCTTTTTGGGGAATGCGGAGTACCAGCAATTTTCAAGTCTTTCCTCAGTTTTCAATTAAAGATTGAAAGTCAAAACTTTGACTGGGCCACTCAAGGACATTCCATTTCCTCTTGGTCCTTAGTGTATTTGTACACACTCTTGTTGAACTTCGGCTCAACTCCTTACATCTGTTATCTCAAGTCTTCAAGAAATTGTTTTCAAGTGCAGTAGCTTTCTTTCTATCTTTCTAGTATTATATAAAATAGTTACTCGTATTTCTATATAGAATAACAAAGTTCAGTGTAAGTAAAGATAAAGATACAGGTACTGCATCATCTCATTTTTTATAGCTAGCTAAATTATAAATACTGTAGTAAATCAAGGTTAGAACCCCTGAGGAAGCAGGTTATGTTAGACTTTAGACTTTACAATATTTTGTTTGTCAAGCTTTCAGCTTTGATTTTTTATGACAAAGATCTGTAAGTAACACCACTTCTCTGCATTTGCACTATGTGTCATGTTAACGTTAGTTAATAATCTATCGCATGTCTGTTTTCATGTACAAACGAGTACATGCAAGTTCAAATACATAACATGAAGACCACAAAAAGTGTGTTTGGCTCAATTCTATGCAGCAAACATGCAGTATTATAAGAGAGAAGGTGATAGGAGAAATTGGAATGCAGTAGACTAAAAGTACCCAGGAGACCACTACCAGGTATTTTATTGTGTGATAAGCTAACTACAGAAATGAGGTCAGCAAACAGGAAATGTGATTGATTTATATCATAGCTGGCATCAAGTACCCAGAGGATAGTGCATCAGTATGCTCACCACATATAATAATAATAATAATAATATTTGCTTACACTTATATAGCACTTTTCTGGACACTCCACTCAAAGCGCTTTACAGGTAATGGGGATTCCCCTCCACCACCACCAATGTGCAGCATCCACCTGGATGATGCGACGGCAGCCATAGTGCGCCAGAACGCTTACCACACATCAGCTATTAGTGAGGAGGAGAGCAGAGTAATGAAGCCAATTCATAGATGGGGATTATTAGGAGGCCATGATTGGTAAGGGCCAATGGGAAATTTGGCCAGGATGCCGGGGTTACACCCCTACTCTTTTTGAGAGATGCCGTGGGATTTTTAATGACCACAGAGAGTCAGGACCTCGGTTTTACATCTCATCCGAAGGACAGCACCTGTTTACAGTATAGTGTCCCCGTCACTATACTGGGGTATTAGGACCCACATAGACTGCAGGATGAGCACCACCTGCTGGGCCCACTAACACCTCTTCCAGCAGCAACCTTAGTTTTTCCCAGGAGGTCTCCCATCCAGGTACTGACCAGGCTCACACCTGCTTAGCTTCAGTGGGCTGCCAGTTGTGAGTTGCAGGGTGATATGGCTGCTCAGCTAGCAGTGGGGAGAAACCAATTCATAGATGGGGATTATTAGGAGGCCATGATTAGGAAAGGCCAATGGATGCTGGGGTAACACCCCTTACTCTTTTTGAGAAACAGCCTGGGATTTGACCACAGAGTCAAAGAGTTAAAGTCAAGCCTTGTAGGGTACTTAGCGTTTCAATAATGTCTTGTCATCTTCCGCCTATAAATAAAATAAGCAAGTTAGGTACTGTAGCAATAACTTTTAATTCTTATATCGAGCCAATTTGGTTCTTAAGTACCATTAAATATAACACCATTAGTATACAAAAATATGATGATTCCTAAAGCCAAGATTGGTGTCATGTCTCCTCTCCTCTTGCAGAATGCTCGCTACCTTCCAGGCATGCTGCAAGAAATTGCTATCCATCCATCTTCTAACCACTTCTTCAGGTTCACGTAGAAGAGCCTATCGGAGAAGCCGGAGCCTAGGCGCAAGGCACCATAATCCTTGGACAGGACATGAGTGCCCACACAGACACAGAGTCATGCACACACACACACCTAAGTTATCCAGAAGCCAGATAACCTTCAATGTATTTTTGGTCTTTGGGAGGAAACTGGAGTACCCAGAGGAAACCCATATGAACTCACAAAAACATGTAAATTCAATACAGAAAGCACCCTAGGATTGGAATTGAACCCGGTGAACCCGGTTTGAGGTAGCAATGTTAGCCACTGCACCACCATAAGAGGCAAACCACTGCACTGTAAAAATACATTCTTGCACAACATAATGTACTGGACACACTGCATTATATCTGCAGATTTATCTACCCGTTTGTTATGTTGAATGGATTTCTTAAGGCCATGGTATTTGAAACCTGGTTAAGTGCTAAAAAATAAAGCACTTAGCAATGTGCAGGGATCAGTAATAGAAAATGTGGACAATTCTCTAAATGAGAAAAACTCCATTTGCTAAATACTGCATTTCAGAAACAAACCCATGTTCTGTATTATTTCACAACCTGAACTTTTCATTTTTTGATTAAAGCATTCGCTTAAGATTTTTTTCCATTCCATTCATCGATAAAGTATTGACATTTGATTGCCATCTAAAATAAAGACATATTAATATTTACAGTATGTCTTAATACTACTAACCTATCTTAAATTGCTCAACATCCGTGAAAAACTGAAGTCTCTTTCCACAAAACAAAATTCCGTTGGGTGTGTGATTTCTTGAAAGAATCCTGTTAGCATTAGCTTCAGTCTTTCTGCATTAATATATATGTAATAATTGTTTACTCAAATGAGTTTTTGCCTCTTGATGAACCAACTTTAAAGCTGTTAGGAAGTACTGTAGCTTGGAGATTTACTCTGGCTTGCAGAGTCACAGTGTGCTGTTCAATGTGTAAGACAGTTTCTGGTAAGACTCAGTCCTCGAAAGAAAAATGGATCAGTGCAACAGGTAGGTTAGCTGGTTACCATGGCTACTACTATGCTGGAGGAGCCTGTTGTATCGTTGATGGAAAACATGGATTTGCACTAATGTTGTCAATGCCTTTGAGATATGTATATCAGGTCCCCTTATTGCCTACCCCATTTAAGACTAAAAAGGGTCAGTTCTTTCAGCTTGTCAGTGTAGGACATTAATATCCGAGAATATACAGTATCTGGTTGCTCTTCTTTTACTCTCTCTTGAGCAACATCTGTTGCCATCTGTTCTCCGGTGTTTCTATATCTCACATATCCCATTCCAGTACTGTATAAAATCTGCTTTCTTTAAATTCTAATTCCCTAATGGTTCTCTCACCTGTGTGTGCCAAATTTTGACTTGAGTGTTTAAATGTTTCCTATGGAAAACCCATCACATGTGAACAAGTTTACAGAGTTCAGGATTGGCTGGGATTATCCACCTAAACAAGTCCTCCCAGCATGAGGCCGGCACTATTTGCTGTGGACTGAATGCTAAATGATTTTCTTAAACTACAGTAATTCCCTCCTTATATCTGCTTTATAAAGGGATAAGAATATATGTAAAGTTAACAGGAATCTGTTTTGCCCCAATTAAATGTGTTGGAAAAAAAAGATACTCAGAAGCAGGTGAAACATGTCCCTGTCCAATGATGTTGCAGGGAGTGCTGGGTCTGTTGGCAGCTGTGCTGTGCAGCACATGTCTTCAGCAGGGGGGCGCTATGGAGTTGTCAAGAGAGCTGAATATTTGACAGTGTCTTATTTAAACTACTCCATGGGGGATCCCAGTGTGTCTTATTAAATAAACGCCTCTGTAATTCCTTCTTTATGGGATTAAGGAGTAGAAGTATCTTTCCTCCACTGGTCACTGCCAGCTCCCTGTGTGCTTTCCCCTGTGTGGTACTGTTTGGACTGGGTTAATACAGTCATCAGAGCTGCCTCTCAAGCAGACAGGGCTAATGAGGGCTTCAGCAGCTGTCCCCTATCCCAATTCCGCCAATGGCCACAGTCTCAGATGTTGCAGAATTCCCCTACCTTCCCATCCCCTTATAACGCTGACCACGATGCTGCTGTACAGAAACAGTTGACTGCTCTACAGGGGAACCTTTGACTTGCAGAGACTGAAGAGGAAATCAGATTATCAAAGAGGCTCATTGACAGACTATCAAAGACACCATTGGAGAAACAGGTAACTAGAAGCGCTGACAATCTGGTTAAAAATGTACATGAATGGGTGTGCTGTGCCCGAGAATATGTGTTTTTATATATGGCATGTTTGCAACACCAGAAGGAATTTACTGTATATACTGGAGGCTGTTATATTAAAGTGGTAACTGAGAGAAGGAGGTTTTCCAGCTGGTGTAGCTTTGCCCGGTAAAGGTAATGTGTTGGACATGAGATGTTAGGAGAACCTGCAACACTGTCTGCAGGATGCCTGTTCTTCAGACAGCAGAAGAGATGCTTTGAATGATGTTTTGTTTCATTACTGAATTTCATACCAACAAGAAAGAAAGTATGGTGTCATCATGCCAGTACAGGACTAGATTTTCCTTCAATTCAGCACACAGCACTGCTTCAAAAGAGGATTATGTTGTAAAAGAGAAAAAATAACCCTATGATGTATAAAGCACTCTAGTTAAAAACAGAGAAACAGAAACATACTTTAACATAATTCTATTCCTTTGAACCTAGAAGGAAACACTACATGTTAAATCTTCCCAGATTGCTGCACATTCTAAGATCTTAGACCTCCTATCCAATGTTTTTTTATGTAAACATCTACAACTCACACTTCTTGTTTTGTGGCACACTGTGTGAGCTATTGAATGTAAACAAATTAGTTTCTGTTGCTCTTTCAGTGAAAGCACTTGTACAGTAGCCTCCTGTTCTTTTAATGCTGGTTCTGTTGAAGAGAATAGAGACTTTTAACTTCTACTTGCAATAGTCTTATGGCTCTCTGCGTACTAGTCTTAATTTTCTTTTATTAATTAAAGATACACTGCATATAAAGTGAAACTTATTTTATTAATTTATCCTTTTAAAAAGTATTTTAACATTTACAATATTGACTCTGTGTCCTACCTGTCTACCTTAAATTTGTGCGGCATCATTAAATTAAGATACATGAAGAAGTAGTACAGTAATTATAGGATAGTAATATTTAGTAAATTTTATTAGGATGGTGCTACGTTTCATAACATCATAAACTAATTTAACTGCTTTCTTGTATACCCATCTGACACACATGACAAACAATTTATATGTACTACTGTATATAAGATGCTTGCCATTTCAATATTTGCATTATACTGTACATGCAATCTGCAATCTTGTTTAAATTGATCCTTAAATGAATGACTAAAATCTATTATAGGTCTATCACAGCCAGACTTTTGTAGTGGAAAAGATGCAGTATAATCAAGAAAAAGTCAAAGAATAACCTAATAAACAAACTAGCCGGACCTTTTTCTTATGGTTTTTACCTTCAATGCCTTCAATGGTACAGTATGATGCAGCCAAACTGATATGAGTGGAAAATCATATTTTGTGAAAGCACAGTGCTCAAAAGCATTAAAAGAGTTGAAGAACTATCTTAAATATTATTCTGCTTTAAGTAGTATACATGTTCAGCCAAATTATAATATTTGAATCTGAAACCCATTACAATTTCCAAGTTAAGTAAAAGCTTTGATAATTGCATCTACTGTACTGTATGTATCTTTTTCTGCAGTGTCACTCTGTCACTGAAAGATGCTTGCTTTTGAGGATGCTGTGTAAATAAATGTTTACTGAATTATTCTAAAAGTGTAGTCAATATCACATTCTTGCCATTAATGAATACATATGAATAACACATTCATGTTGAACCTTTTTTCCTTATTTTGTAACTGGAAAAAAGCCAATAGATAAGTCATTCACTCATTCTCAAACCTGTATTTGTAATTTTATTTTACACACCACGAAATACAATACATACTGTGCATATATACAATATATTTCAATAAAATAAACATACAGCTTGACTATAATTATATGTATAAAGATAAAAGTATATAAATACAGAGGTGTGACCTCACACCTGAAGAAGGCTCCACGGCCGAAACGTTGTGTTTTCTTTCTTTTTTTTTTCAGCATGGAATAAACCTATTACTTGTTCCTTTGCAGCCTACGCATGCTGACACAGCTACCCACCTGAACTATAAATACAGAGAACACTGTATTCCAAGATTCTGAATTCAGGATTCAGAACCAACATTTAATCTCAGTCTTTTTATTGTAAAAAAAATCTTTGAAGGATTTACTTGCTGAATGCCAAACAATTTGAGGGCCCATAAAATCCCATAGGTTTGGATTTATAGCTTGATGTCTTTTTGAATGCTGTTTTAGTAAGCTGAACATACATTTAAAGCTTCTCTGTATTTATTTCACTATTTTCTCTATTACTGATTATTTTGTACATTTTTTAATAATCTATCAATGCCCCCTAAATATGCTGCAGAACCACAAGCTAATTTTGATACAATATATCTGTATCACATATGGTACATTTTTAAATGGTCCTGATAGGATCAAGTATGATTAAATGTTTCATACAAAAAAATCAGCATAGTCCAATAAAATAAGTAAAATGTAATATAGTAAACTTAGAGTATGAACTTACCTGGTCTAACAAGGGCTGACACACAGAACCTCTGAAAAATGTGTTACTCTTACAGTATATCAAAAATGGTAATGATGAGTGACACCTCATATAAATCCAGAAATTTGAACTGAAAAATATCCTTCCAATGGTCATAAAGTGAGCTTATATATCTCACCCAAAGATTCCTCTCTCTATTTTAATGCATCTGGAAAGCAATTTTTTTCTCTATTTCTGTTTGACACAAAGAGAGAATTGGGAATTTCAACAAAAAAAAAAATAATGTGGAATGAGTGTGTCTTTTGTTTTCAACAATAAAACATTTTTTTGTACTGGTGATGGTCTCATTTTTTAATAGTGGAACAACATTAACAGATTAAGCATAAAATGATTACAAACACCCAATTTTTTCTCAATTTGAGCTAAAAGAATCATGTTTGAATGTCACTTTTAGCTTGAATTTTACATTGTACACTTCATGTTCCAGGGATTGCTTCCACAAAAATATCTACAGTAGTAAAACACGTTTCAGATTTGTGAAAATCTACCCATTCGTCTTATATCAGAAAGTCTTATACTATAATGTCTTGTTATGAGATCAGAAGAAGTGCGGGACAGAATCATAGGGCACAGGTAACATATTGCCTCTGAAAGCCTTGGGGACTGAAACCATACAACTGCTCTCCACCTGGACAGGACAGAGAAAGGGACAAGAGCTAGACAACATACTCAGCACTTCTTTGGAAAATGGTAAAAAATCTGAAAACTCGATACTCACAGAATGATAAGGAGGATGTCTGCCTGTTTGAGACAGCAGAGTATGTCCTCTCATTGTAGACAAGATGATGTTTCTTTCCACTGAAATCCAGCTTAACTGTTGTTGAGTTTGTTGTTTCTAGCACAAAAAACACCATCAACCATTTTCTTTGTGAGAAAGGTTCCAAAAAGAGTTCTCCATTTGCTCCGTCAACATTTGTTACCATGGCTCTGAGAATCCCAGCTGTCTGATGTTATTGTTTACTGGGACATTCTCTGTACTTGCTTACCTATATGTCCATGCGAAGTACTCTTCTGCAGGCTATTACAAGTGGTGCTGTATATAGTTTCAGTCACTGATGTCTCTCACAGGATTATTTGTCTCTGTCTTCAACTTACTTTTAGGTCTAGGAGGACGCCAGAGCAGTCTGGCCCTACAGGAGTACCATGAGGACATTGTTTCTCACTCTGCTGGGGCTCCGACTTGTCTCTGGGACAGGGTAAGTGGTGGATGAGAAGGTTAGGCTTGGAGAGATGCAGAGAACAGAGGAATGAAAGATTAGAATAGGAGAGTCAGGACCTCAGTTTTAATTCACATTCAAAGGACAGAGTCTTTTTTACAGTAAAGCATAGTTAGTACAGTTTTGGTTTCTAAGAATCTTTTTACTGTCACATCACATACCTACTGTAATAATCAAGAACCTTTGAATTCTCAAAAACCTAAAAAGCACAAATGAATGTATCGGGAGTAGCTCTTCATCCTACATGTAGGGGGGTGGAGGGGTGTAAAGTGACAGATCTGGATAAAGCTCAACAAAATTAAGAAATAAAAAAACAAGGTAAAAAGTATTGTAACACCCCACCAAATGCTTTGGAGGGTTTATCATGTTCACTGTCTTGCTATGCTGCAGTCATGATGAAATTTTAACTGCAGCACAATAATTTAGCACCAACACAAAAAAAGCCATTGCCAGTATTGACTCGTACAGTATATGGCTGGTCTTGTAAAATGAGGGCTGCTTTACTTTGAGAGGAGGGCTCAGTTGAGATGAGACTCACCAATGCAACATGTGAACAATATCTTATTTACACTTTTGCCTCACGTTATATTTGTCTTAAACTTTATGTGAGCTCCTGTCTTCCTGAAACAAAACCAAACAGCTCCATGCAGAGCCTGCGTCACTATCCTTACTCAGAGTTTTGGCATTAAGCAGATTAATTAAAAGCATTCTTTAATAAGCATACAGTTTTGAAAATTCTGAATCCAAATATACTCCAGGACCATACTGAGACTGTCAGGAATCCTCAATGCAAAAGGTATACAGATCCTGTGCCGATGCAGGAGCAAGTAGATATTGAGACAGGCGAACAATCCGGAACTTCAGGCGAGATCGTAGTCGATAGGCGAAAGGTACTGTAGATCGAAATCCAGGAAGTACAGAGAGCAGCAAACAGTCCAAAACAGAAGGCGAGGTCCAAGGTCGAGAGGCAAAAGGGAGTTCAGTAACCAGCAAGCGATCTTCAGAATTAACGCGAGGTAGAGCTCTCAAAAAGAAGACTCAATACCGAGCAGCAGGAAGCGGGTTAGGGTGGTTTAAATAGAGCTGCTTGCCGCACTGTAGAGCGTGTGCTGATGGATTCACACGTGCGGCAGCGCTTGTTATTATTATCCCGCTGCTGGTACAGGTTAGTTCTTTTGTGAGTTGATCTCCGATGGCTGGTGGTCGTGACAGACTGAGGAATCTGTTTTTATGTCCGTCTGAAAAAGTATTCTCTTGTCTGTCTCCTTAGCCATACTAGCCATACAAGTGTACTCTACTACAAAAGAGTAAACATGAGAATGCGTTGGACAGAATATTAAAACCTGATTAAAAGCTGATGAAATGCGGTTCAGTCCATCAGGGTGTTACTGTGTGGAGTTTGTACTGTATGTTCTCCCCGTGTTTGAAAAACTGGCCCTGGTGTGAATGTGTGTCACCTGCGATGGACTGGCACCCTGTCCAGGGTGTATCCAGTCTAGTCCCAGTTGCTTTCCAGATTATGCCCCAACTACCCTGTGAGAGTGTACTAGATGGAATGGTTGAGAAAACAGATGAACTCTCAGCAAAGGTTGGGGTGTATGTGAAGTGTGACTCTTACCTCCACAGAAATGAGTCTGAAGAGGCTAGTCAGAGTATACTCATGAAGGATTTGTGACTTTTTCACATGAAATATTTTGCTCTGGATGCCAATTGTAGATGATATGATGCAGAAACCCAAATATATTCATTTGTCATTGCACCTCAGATGGTGTGCTCTGTAGTTTTTGGAGGCCTAAGTGGTTCAGTGTGAAAACCCCAATAAAGCAGGCCCTCTCATTCATCCCATGTAGTGTGCAAGTACGCAGAACCCCTGCTTGTAGAACCATCTGCTAGTTTAAAGTTCAAAGAGAAAAAATAATTTTAGAAAGTATAAGAGAAAAATCATTTTAGAAAGTATAATTGAATAGCTGCTAGAAAAATACATGTACCGCTGTTAAAACAATCTGTAAACCTATATTGTACATTGTCTTACAGGTGTATGTCTTTTTTGACAACTAATTTTAATGGGACATTTATATTTTTATCCATTAATTACGTTTGCTTGATTAAAGCTTGTGAAACCTGGAACTATCATTAATTTTTTATTTTTTCCTTCATGTTAATGATCAAATTACTTACTGTTTTTGCTTATAATGTGTGCATTAGGTTGTGTATAGTACAGTATATAATATTATTAATTGCTGCCTCAGTGCCATTACTGCAAAGTTTAAAGTACAAAAATGAGAAAATTATGCAAGACTGAAATCTTATGTATATAATGTAGTTGGTCCTCTAACATAGTTAAAGTAGTTAATAAAGTCAGGTTTTATTAGTTATAATTACCTGGTGCAGTTTTGACACCCTTATTATGGGTAGGCAGTACTGTAATTAGCAATTCTCCAGTACACTATCCCCGTCTTATGTGATTCCTGGAAGAGTTGTGTCAATGCTTATGTATGACATGTCTTGTTTCCTGGAGTATGATTGGTATATACTGTAATATACATACTGTAATAGGGTTCCTGGGATTTCTTCATCTTGAGTGCTTCTAGTACCCAAAACACTTATCTTTCTTCTGTAATACTGCATTATTCAATGAAGAACTTTATCTTTGTGCTGCCTGAGGCATATGGTCCTGTTCTTCTTTAGTGAACTGACTAAAATGTTCACTTCATTCTTCAGCCATTTCCTTTTCATTGTCTAAAGGTTTACCATTTTTGTCCTCTGTACTGCATATCTTACTTCAGCCTTGACGGTTCTTTTAGTTGTCATAGGACAGAAATAACTTTTTTATTATTTGCTTTATTTACTCCTTTCCAACTGTTGTGGAATTTTATCAAAGAAGAGGCAGGAGAGGTGTTCTCATTCACTCAGTAAGGTCTTTATTCATATTGCAATATGGGAAAAAGGCATCACTGGTCTGTGCAGAGAAGTAAAGGCTGATTCAAAAGCAAGCAGGGAGAGCCCCTTATTTAATATTTTTTTTAAGCTGATGCAACACTTCAAGGAGAGGCGAAGCAGTAATTTTCCATTCCTTATAGGTTTTTGCTTTAAGCGAAGAAGAGCAGTTATTCAAATAGTTTCTCATACTCCCCTTTTCAAGCAGCAGTGATAAACTTTATTAAAACATCCCATGCCCTTGATGAGCTGGGTGCTATCACACTTTGTTCTAGGTATCCAGTTGCTTCTGCAGCACAACTCTGTCCGTAAACAACATTTTTAGGATAAAACACTTTTTCTCAGTAACTTTCCATTACACAATGTTCCTTTCTCTCTTAAATTCTAATATTCATTTTTTCCTGTGCTTGCAATTAACTGTAGTTTTTGTCTTTAAATGTGTTGTTCTTTTAATCTTGTTATAAAGCACTTCCTTTTTCCTTTTATTTTCCGTAACTGATTTGTTGATTTATTTGAGATACTGTTTTTAGCTTTTGATTAACTCTCTCTTGACGTTTAGTCTGTACTGTACTTCAAGCCAAATCTGTTAAAACTGTTGCTATTTTCTCTGATTCCATATCTTTGCTATCTCATTCTATTTTTCTTACACTCTGTCTCATTCCTTCAAAGTCATCTTTCCGGAAACTGTAAATTTATTCAATTGGACCAAATTGGTACAGTTTCAAAGAACACTTCAAAGTATAGCATATTCTAATCCCAGTTCCCTAATGGTTCTCTTACATCTATTTGCCTTACTATGTCTTGATTGTTTGAAAAGACAAGAACATTGCAAGCATTTAGGTGCTCTGACTGCATTTAAGATAGCACTCAAAAATTATGTCTACCATTTCAGTTTCTGCTGCTCATATTCCCAGTCTATATGGGGAGTTGAAGTCTCCCATGCTTCTACTTTTTCTATGCCACATACATTTCTTGTTATTTCATTGTGTAGTGTTGGATTTAAACCAACATGTGCTTTTAATTATATATATTCCCAACATTATGGTTTTAGTTCCTGAGTATGAATATTTTTTCATATATAGTGCTATACCTTCACCTCATCTGTTTTCCTGTCTCTCCAGAACAGCGTGTATCAACTAATGTCACATTTATTTCCTTAATTTTCAGTGATCCATTTTTTGTTCATCCAACAAAATCACAGGTCCCTTGTTACATGGTAGCTTCTATTTAATTTGTTGTAATAATGCTAATTTTTAAATATATTGATATAATTGCTTGGTCCTGTCATGGAAATTTTTACGGTTAGAATAAAGGAGCCACAGAAATTATTCTCGATGATTCAAAAGCAAGCAGGGAGAGCCCTTGTTTTATATCTTTTTTAAGCTGATGCAACACTTCAAGGACAGGCAAAGCAGTAATTTTCCATTCCGTATAGGTTTTTGCTTTAGTTTAAGCAAAGAAGAGCAGTTATTCAAATAGTTTCTCATACTCCCTTCTTCAAGCAGCAGAAATAAACTTTTATTAAAACATCTCGTGCCCTTGACGAGTTGGGTGCTATCAAACTTTGTTCTAAGTATCCAGCTGCTTCTGCAGCACAGCTCTGTCCGTAAACAACATTTTTAGGATAAAACACTTTTTCTCAGTAACTTTCCAATACAGTCCTTTGTTTTGTTCTTCTTTTTTGGTTCTCCTGTTCTTCAGTTCATTGCCAAGTTGTCTTGAGTTTTTACAGATGAAAATTGTTCTGTTTAGGCCAATGTTGTTTTGTGTACACTTGATTAACAACAGCTGCGTTACGACATTTCATTGCCAGCAACTACTGCTGCACGCCGTATTGTTGTGCATTTGATAAATAAACTTTGACTTTGACTTTGACTTTTTTGCCCTTTGGCTCTATGGACAGTATCAATCACCTTAGCTTCACGGAGACAGCAAACTGTCATGTAATTTTCTAATGGTCCGTTTCAAATTTCCATTGCTATTTCCTGGAGAATGGAGACTTCAACAACCACAATGTCTCTGTTTGCAATCTTCTAGGTACTGGCAAAAATTGTAGGTAAGGCCAGTGTTTGAGAAATTACCTCAGTCACTTTTTCAATTAAGTGGGTCTACATCCCTCCCTAATTTTTTGTTGGTTGGTTTTGCTGGTTTTGTCAGTTCTTCAGTCTCTTTGAGCTTTTTAGTTCCTTTTTCAGTGCATTAATTTTTCAAGCAGAATCTGACTCCACATATTGTCTCATATGGGTGCTTCCCCTTGTTCTCTGAATCCTTGCCTCTTACCTTTTGTTTATATTTTAACTTCTCTCTTCCGTCTTCCCTTCATCCTTTATTTTGCTCTTGTCCTCTTGTTGATTGCATCTGATCTCCTTTTTCTGTCTTATCCCTCTTTCCACTTTCTCCTCTCTCTGTTTCTCATTCCATTTTCGCTTACCTTGCCTCTGCCTTTCGTTCTGTCTCTTTCACCTCTCTCAGGCACTGGTGTGAGAGCAAAATACAGGAGCGGGAAGAGAAGATTGTGTCACCCCGTCTCCAAAAGGAGGTGGACTGTTCCAGAGTGTATCAATACAACTTGCAGGGGTGGAGGCTGGATATCGACCGAATGCGAAAAGATCATGGGGGAGATGAAGGCATTGCACAGTATTACCAGCAGAATGGCCCTAATGCCTCATGCTACCTGTACAAGTAAGACTCCCAGCTGCACAGCATATACAGTAGATGAAGTGTGTCAGGGGAAGTATATACAGCAGGGAGGACCATGGACCAGAAGTTCCCCTCTTACCAGGAGAGAATCCTGGCTAACATATAGTATTTTGTGATTATGGCTGCTCAAAAAAGCTTTATAGTGTCTGGGAAAACATAGACAAGAAGCGAACGTTTTAGTTCATTTCGTTTTTACTTCATTAATGTTAGAAGACTACAAAAGAGAAGAGCTCACCCGATCCTCTCTTGGTTTTTAGTACTTTGACCCACGGATCTCATTAATATTTTTTACATGGCTTGGCAGCTTGCTGTAAGCAAAATGAACAACAGACAGAATGAAAGTGACAATGATAGATGTAGTTTCAGACAGCTATAGACCAAGAAAGCATTTACCTGTGCTGCAATAATGGTGAGGTGGTACATCAGTATTATGAGGTGTGTACAGCAGGCTGCAGCAAAACTAAGAGCTCTAACTGTAATAAAGCCCACCCACTTATCATATACAGCATTTACCATACAAGTTAGGCATCTATTTTATTACAGATTTATCTACATACAGTATATATACGGTATGCAAATGTCACACAAATTAATCAAACAAAATTATAACAAGTTAGAAGCATGAATGTGCTATTAGATTCATACATAATAATTATACTGTATATACATTTCACATTATTGCAGCAGACAAAATTGCAATAACACTTGTAATAAGAGCATACTTAACCCTGTTTGTCTCTTTTCAGGATATAACAATATCAGTTGCTAAGCTACAGTAGGTAACATTTTGCCTGTTGTGTTTTGTGCCATATTGTGCCCCAGGCCAGCTCAGATTGAGACTCGACTCGTGAACCGGACAGTGTGGGCTTGCTGTGAGGGCTGGGGGGGACCACAGTGCACACAGGGTATGACCTGAAATTTCCCTCCTCAACACACCGCAGCTGGGCTGAGGGTTTTACTGTTTATCCTCTGTATTCTCATCACTATTGCCTCTCTCTTTCGTAGCACGTGTTATTTGGGGAGAAGGCTGTACATCTCATCTTTATTCTACATAAAAGTGTAGAAATCAGGTCTCTTACATGTTTCATTTATGACCACTTATATCATAATACACCCCTAGCATATTTCACATACACACATAAAAACTGTAGACACTGTCATTTTCTAATTCTATAGAAAATATACTGTACTTTTTGCCTTCTTGCTTATTAAAAAGCATACAGTACCAGATAAAAACATTCAGATTTAGTGCAGTAGCAGCCTCTGCTCTGCTCTCTAGACTGTAAAGATTGCAGTCTACAATACTTCTGACAGAGAGACTCCTTGCTCTTCAGCCCATTTCAGGAAAACATTAAACTTCCATCTGACTCATTTAACATTTACCAGTGCTGAGCAGTGAAGTCCCGAGCCCTGGTATTTGTGACCTCTTTAAAGCTGTGGAGGCTGGTGTTTTGCTGAGGCTAATACAGTCTTTTTTCCAACACACCTCAACTCCGAATTCTGATTGTCTTCAACACAGCATGGGGTGCTTCCACTGTGTTCTTTCTTCTCGTTTAAATCTTGTTCAGAGCAGACTGTCTGAGCTAGTATACTTAGAATAGTTTTAGGGTCAAACATGACCATTTATGCAGTCCTACAACACTATGAGACGAAAAGGAATAAAGAGTCAAATGCAGTTTTAAAAACATTTCCCTATAAATTTAAATAAAAACAGAAGCATGGTTTAGCCTTACATTGTATAGTATATATATATTATTTTGAACTATTCATACAGGAGGGCAAGTACTTTTGTCTCTCAATATACTGGAAGAAAACGTTGCTGGCTCTGTATTTTGTTACATATTGTGGCTTATGCAACTATTGTTTATTTGTTTCCTCTCCACAGTTTGAAATTGAAAATGAGCAACATTTCAAATAGACTTAAGCCAAAACATTTGGTTTATAACCTGGAGATCTGTGTACTGTATATCTATGAGTGTGTGTATGTGTATTACTTCATGTGTGTCTCTCTCCCTGTCTGTGTGCCTGTGAATCTGTGGGTGCATTTCTGCAGGCATAGGTGTGAGGGGCCAGTGTTATTCCACCTGGAGCTGCCAGGAGTTTCCAGGTGTCCACAATTCCTCCCTGATGCCGTTTGAGCAGTGTTGTACCAGCCTGTGGGGCCACAGCTGGAGAAACAATTCAGACCTCAGCTGCCTGTCCTGCTCCTACAACCTCCTGTCTGGTCAGTCAAGAGAAGCCCTCTTCTACAAGTCTATTACACTCCCCAGAGGGGTTTTAAAGATTTCTTTCCCTAAGCAAATGTTATGTTAATTTTTTAAGGGTGTTTCAAAAAGCTTATCAATTTATATATGACCAGTATTTTTTAAGTATAGTTTTTATCAAGTTTTTATAGTTTTCAGAAACATATGCATCTAGAGACTGAATGAGATAAAAAAAATCTGTTTTTATTGTGTTATGTGCTCTGTTCCAGTCCCCTGTGCTCCCTCTTTATCTATTACATATTCTCTAAGTCTATTACACTTCTTCTTGGTCTGTAACCATCTATGCTATGTCTGTCTCTCTTACTCTGATACACACTCTTCCATTATATTTTACTCTCAGTTTATTGCACATAGTCCATCACACTCAGTTCACTCTCTTTCTCTTTATTACAGTCATTTATTACAGTCATTTTATTACACTCCCTTTTTCAGACTATGACTCCTCCATTAAGACAACAAAACTCTTCATACTCTGTTACACTTTCTTGAAGTCCACTGTATCCTGTTCACTGCCTATCTGTTGATGATGTAAATACTGTATATTGTAGGAATCAGTGCTGTGTCTGTGGATGTGGATGTGCTGCATTAACAAGTTCTTAATAAAACCTCTATTTCTGTCTGTGTTGTTGCAGACTCTCTGTCACCCTTGCTGCTCCCTAGGGCAGTACTTGGGAGTGTGCGGGACCCCCAGGGCTCCTCAACCTGCCTGACCTGGGGTGGGGCGCATTACCGTACCTTCGACCGCCGGCACTATCACTTCCAGGGCAGCTGCACCTATATTCTGTCCTCATCAGTTGATGGCACATGGGCTGTGTACATCTCCACTGTGTGTGAGAGCCAGGGCCACTGTAGCAAGGTACTGACTCCAGGATAACTAGAGTAGAAACCTCAGGGATTTAGAAAAAGTAAACTGATGTTACTGCCATCCTTAGTTAAACTGTGTAGTAGACAGTATACTGTAAGTAGAGAGCTGCAAAGGAACAAGTAAAGGTTTATTCCAAGCTGAAAAGAAAGAGACACAATGTTTCAGCTGTGCAGTCTTCTACAGGTGTGGTCTCCACATGGAAGACTTTTCAGCATGAAATAAACCTTTATCTGTTCCTAGTGCACAGTACAGCTCACAATCTAGTTGACTTAGAGCATCTCATGCCAACGAGTTAATATGCACAGTCTTCCCTGTATCTCACAGGCTTTGAGGATGATGTTTGGTCTGGAGCTGCTCACTGCCCAGGAGAAAAACCTGTCACTCAATGGGATGCCCCTTCCCCAGGGCCAACCTCTCTTCCAGAATGGTGAAGTATCTGTCACTACCTGGCATTAATCAGCCTTGAATTGCTGTGAGTGAGGAAGTAACTGCTCACATTGTGGTCTAGAGATGGTTTCACTGTGAGGTCTCAGTCTGGAATTCTCAGCTTCATTTGGAATAAGATCAAGACAGGTGCACCAATAATTAATATAATGCATGCTGAACATTGTTCTTCCCCTGTTTCAGCACTCATGATATTAATTATGAGTGATTGCTCAATTGTAACTAATTTTATTAACCTGTTTATTTTCCATATCCCATATTTTGCACATGCACATTTTACAGTAACATTCTAATATAGAGCAAACGTGATTCACATTACTAGTGAAAGGGATCAGTCTAGCTCTGAATACTTATTGCTCCTTACTTCTGCATTGATGTTCCAGTATACCTCTTCATATATACTGTATGTCTGCATACTAATAAAACTACATAAAACTATGAAGGGATTAGGGGAACAAACAGATATGTGAGCATTGGTATCATATAATGTATGTTGAGACCCAATAGACAGACAGATGGACTCTAGATGGGGCTCTAGTGTAGAGTTTGATAGTGTTTTCACCTGCTGAAGGTCTCATTCTCTCTCTCTCATTGTGCAGGGGTCAGTGTGCGATGGCTGGGCGACTTTGTCTTTGTGGAAAGCGGTCTGGGTGTGCGGGTGAAGTGGGATGGAGACAGCACTGTTTACCTTACCGTCACAGCAGAGCACCGCTCCTCCACCAGGGGGCTATGTGGAGTGTACAACAACAACCCTGATGGTGTGGGCTCTCCTCCTCTTCCTTTTTCTCTCAGTCTCTCTCCTTCTTGGCTTGGTTACTTGTGTTTGGGAATAAAGTAGGATAGGTAGATTGCTTTTAATGTGTGTTCAGAAAGGCCTCTGGGTTTAGGAAATCTGCTCTTTTTCAGTATAATTTTATTTTCCTCACACTGTATTATTTAGTTTCTATATTATCTAATGGAGTCTTCAGACACACGGAAGTGAGTGTATCAGTATAAGTGTGAGAATATGCATGCATCCTGTCTGTATGTCTTGGTTTAATCCTTCATATACTGTACTTGCAGATGACTTCACAACTGTTGGAGGGAGCATGTCTCAGTTTGCTGCCAGTTTTGGAAACTCCTGGCGTGTCCCAGACCTGCAGACTGAGGTAAAGTCACAGCATGGCCTGTGTCAGGTTTGGCACTATGGGAGAGTTAAAGAGGGTCTAACCTGTCCAGTTATGATCTTCCTAGCAACACAATCTGTTGCCAATTGTATAGTAGGAGAGATATCTCTTTGGTGCCTTTGGTTCCTGTTTTCACCAACAAGGGCTCATTTGGGAGGTTACAGACTGGTTACAAATGATCTTAATATCTCACTTTTTTTCTGCATTTTAAACAATTGGTTTTCTTTTTCTATGTACAGAAGGCTATGTATCCACCACAATCTATTATGGCTAATATCACTTTTCTACTGGATGTAGTTCTAAATCATAAGGTGTTCCTCTGATACAGTATGTCCCAGGTCTAGCAGTATCAATGCCATGTCCAATATAGAATTTGTTGGGTCAGGATTAGTTGTGTTTTCTAACTGTGGTCTTGGAGACCTAAAACTTTCAGGATTGTAAGACCTTCAATCAATAGGCAAAATTCCCCATTCATGCAGTTCTTGCTTCATTACAATTTCTATGTTTCTCTCTCTCTGTCCCAGGGCTGCAGTGATGCAGCAGAGCTTGGACACAGCTGTGATGTCACTGGGGACACAGAACTACGGCGAGTGGCAGAGTCTTTGTGCCACAGGCTGCTGGAGCATCCTTTCAGTCAGTGTCACAGCAGGGTGAGAATAAATATAGTACCAATACCATTCTGTCCCATTAATAATGCCACACCTACAGTGTGCCAACAGTATATCTATAATGACACTCCTCGTCTGGTACCTACAGTATGTCTCTATAATGACACCTGTTTCTCAACTGACACCAGTCTCTATACTGACATTAGTGCTTCGAGACCTGTCTATACACTAACACATGTCTTATAGCTTTTCTATTTTTACAAAGACACCAGATTACACTGTTGTATCTCATTAGGCAACTCTGTCTCTACCCTGATACCTGTCTCTATACTATATTTCCTGCTCTGTTACCTATGTCTCTATACTGAAGTGTGTCTCCATACTCTAGTTTTTCCTCTTGTACCTCTGTTCTCTATACTGTTGCCTCTATACTTACAACTGTCTCAATATTGTATTTCCTCCTCTGGCACCTCTATCTTTATATGGACAGGGCCCTTCTGACCACCCTCCCCTACTCCTCTGTTCAGTGATTCACCTCCTCTGCCACTGTTTTCTTTCTGTCCGATCCGCCAGGTGGACCCTGCTGCCTATGTAGACACCTGTCTCTACCTGTATTGTAGCCAGGGCCAACACGAGCGGGAACAAGTCACATGTGATACCCTGGCAAGCTATGCACGCGAATGTGCCCAGCAGCATGTTCTCATCACCTGGCGGAGTGCAGAACTGTGTGGTATGTCTTCTAACTCTTTTGTGCATTAATGGGCAATAGTGAATCTGAACATTTGCATTCAAATATTGCTTTGACCAAAAATGTCAGTTTTAAAAAAAGAAAAATAAAATGTTTACACATCTCAGATATCGTACTGTATATTTGACAGTAGCAAAGATAGACAAAAAAAAACACTAAATTGGACTAATAGAGTTTACAACCAGTTGTTGATAGAACACATCCCCAGTACACCTTGGTATGAATGTAGCTTTGTGACAGGTTGTATTAGGGAAACAGGGTATGGTACTGCTGTGAGAATGGACCCTCCGTTAGAGGCTACTAATTAAGCATTTCCAAGACTTTCTTTGTTTTATTTTAAATAGTGTTCCTATTTTTCAATACCTGGCTAATGGTACAATTGAAATTTATGGAATGTGGGAACTTCAGAAAGGAGTTGTGTATGTAAGGGTATGTTTGTAGGTTCATGAGTAATCGGTAAACCGGATAAAAACTTTGTTGGTAAACTAAGGCAGATTCCAAGTGATAGTTGAAGAAAATATATAGTTATTTAGAGCCAAGGAACAGATTAACTGTCTTAGCCTGTAGAGCCAACACACTCTCAAAAATCAAAGATACTTCTTCTTCTTCTTCGCTTTTTGGAACAAAGTTTTGTATATTTACTGTATATAAAGCCACACAATAATTTCAGGAAATATGTTTGACTTTTTGAGTTTTAATGCATTAACTAAACCTAGTTTCCCACCAACTGTCTCTTGAATCACTCCATGTCCAGCAATATTATCCTCATAACACTTCATTGGACTGTACATGCGACCTAAAGGGGGTATATTTCCAATAACACTATTCCCACAGTTTCCTAACCTAAATGCCGAAAACATGATTACTTTCCAAATGCAGATTTGAGGTCTTGTTAATATATTTAGTTTCCTTTATCCTGCTGACCTATACAGCAGTGTGCTTTAATAACCCCCCTCTCCTATCCAACTCTCTCTCTCACACAGAGCGAGTGTGTTCCCGGGGCCAGGTTTACTCAGACTGTGTGTCCTCCTGCCCCCCCAGTTGCACATCTCAGCACCCTCCTGAGGCGGGGCAGTGCCGAGATGAATGTGTTGGGGGGTGTGAGTGCCCCCCCGGGCTGTTCCTCGAACAAGGCAGCTGTGTAAGGAAGGAGGAGTGTCCCTGCTACCACCGTCGCCACAAATACCAACCTGGAGACACCATCCGGCAGAGATGTAACACATGGTGACAATCTCTCTCTCTATGTCTTTTGTTTTTAGATTTTTTTCCCTCTTCAGTGAATTCTCCTCTGTGCCTTTAGAGGTTGCCTTTCAGACTTTCACTCCCATCTGCAGTCTATCACTGTCGTTATCAAGAGTGTGTGCTGTGTCACTCAGTCTCTCTCCTGCCTGTGTCTGTGTGTTCCAGTGTGTGCCAGGCAGGCCAGTGGCAGTGCTCAGGTGAGCGGTGCCCAGCCCAGTGCACTCTGCTGGGAGAGCTGCATATCACCACCTTTGATGGCAAAAGATACACCTTGCAAGGAGGCTGCGCATACACCCTGGTGGAGGTGAGACACCTCTGCAATGCTGACACAGAGTATTTTTCAAATAATTTTGCTGTCTCAAAGCCTGTTTTGTTCTCCCAATGTACTTTATACTTTTACTTAAAATTTCAGTTATTTTCAGAAAACAAGGGAAAATATTTGCAATGGAGCTACAAATGATTCTATCAGTACAGGGAAAAACAAATTCAGTCTCAGAGCCATACGGTATGGGAAATTCTCATTTCATCTCTACTACTGTAATACACAGTGAGAGTGAACTGGAAAGAAATTGTGATGTGTTATCGATGTGGGGTTTGTAATGTCTGATGATTATGTATTTTAATACAGCATCTAACTCTTTAGATCCACATCTATACCCTTTATGAAACTAATAAGAATTAAGCGAGACCTCAATACTCAGAAAAACCCTGAGACCCAGTTGAGTGTCTCTGCCTCTGCAGTGGAATATCACTGAGCAGTCTGAACACAAGCAGTAGAGCTGCTGTATAAGATACTGTAAGGATCACCTTTAAGGATCAAGGATGGAGGAATGGTCAAAACCAAAGCATTTGAGAGCAGTCCATATTTGCATTCCAGGATAGTAAATGTCTTATCTGCATTTAAACAACTCTGTAATAGAAACTACTGTACCTGGTAATAGGCTGAATTCAGAATATGTAAGGAATCAGAAACAATTCAAGAAGAAGTTTTTGATCATAATGTTTTATGAGAAACCTGTATTTCTGCAGCCACTTCTTTGCAAATAGTTTTATGCCTGAGGTTAATAAAGATGTCAGTATATAGATCATCCTAATGGATGTTAACCTTTTCTTAAGAAGAGCTGTAATTTAAATTGATTATTAATCTCTGAAAAGAGAGTGCTCACAATCAATCTTTTGTTTTAGTATTAAAGGGGTGACCTGTTCCCACACTACTAGGAAGAATTCAGGGAGAAAAGATATTTAAAACAGGAGACTAGATATGTTTCTAAATAAATCGTACAACTGTCTAAATCTTTTATAAAATTATCTTACAACTCAGTTAATTCAGTGAATTTAGAATTCAGTTTTTGACCAACTCTATGTCAGTTTCAGAAGTGTGGAAATGTGAATAAAAGTTTTAGAATTGTATTAATCTTTTTAGGGTTAGAAAGTACAACATTATTTCTTTATATTCCAATCTGGGAATCTGCTGTACTGATTTTCTGTGTTGGTTACAATAATGTGCATGTTATACACTGAACCTGCTGAACCTTGGTTATGTTGTTGCAGTCTTAAAAGAGATGGTTTTAGCAGCCAAAATGCCACTAGAGGCCATCAAATACCTCCATTATTTATAAATTGAGACACTTGGTGGTTATTTATTAGATTATTGGATGTGGTTAATTACAGTATTTTAAGTGACTAAATAACAGAATGTTTTTGCAACTACAAATGTCAGGTAGTCTCTCCCCTTGTTTTAGCACACCACAGGGTCTACCACATGGTCCACACTAGAAAAATTAAACCACGTTTTCATCAAACAGCATCAGTGTTTCTATATTTACAGTGGAACTCTGAGGCGCATTAAGGAGAAGATTGTGCATACAGAAAGGGCTACACCCAGGTTCCATAAGGCATGATCAGTGCTATTCAACAGAATGTATAGTAAAAGCAGGACTGTAAGTGTTAGAGGACGTGAGTTCTGTGAGCTAAAGTCCATGGTCAACACTTGCTGTTTCTACAAATATGGCAATGTCCAGAGTTTATGACATGAAATTGGAGAGAGAGTTTATCACAATATACTGTACATGCCATTTTTTCTAAATGACTTAAAATGGAGTCTCCAAATATTTGTGGCATTTATATTTTGCATCTACACAAATATTTACGCAATAAAAATGTAATACGTTAGCCTTTAGCTGATGTAACCAGTTGCTGCAAAATGATATTGACTTTTTAGTTTGTGTGCTCTCTTAAGGTTTCAAAATGCCCAGTTAACTAAAGATGAGAACATTGCTCTTTCATTGCTCATTTTACTTTGAGTGAATGTTTTGTCCAAGGTGGCATCCAAAGAATGATTTGGCAATGATTTTGCTGAGAGACAGGAAATTGCTTGCCAAAGAACAGAACAGGGTGGCACCTGTCTACAAATGTTCTGACTATTGCATGCTGCCTGCAACCAAGCAGGACGTATAGTCTGTGTTACCAAGACAAAAAACACCAGTTAGTACAGTAAATATAGTAAATACTGTACAATTATTAATTTGGGATTTTAGGATAAAAGCAGATGTTTCCCCTGTTAACCAGTGCCCATTAATCTGTCAGTCACTTTAATATGGATAGACCGATTGTCAACTGACATGTGTATCCATGCAGGACTTTGTTGACAGCAAGCTGGTGGTAACAATGGAGAGCGGGGAGTGTGCAAGGGGAGGAGCCCAGATTTGTCTGAAGGAGATTACTGTCAGTGCTCACAGGACCACTGTCACAGTCACTGATACAGGTACACTGATCGCTGGCGTCCACCCCACTCTCCTTCTCCATATCTCACTCTCTCACTGTCCTCATAAAACCTCTTTGTTCCTTTTTCTTGTTTCCATGTATCCCACACACTCTGCTGTCTTGTCTTAATATTGGCCTAATGTTTTTCTTTTACATTGTCTTACTTAAGTTTTGTTAGAGAATGTGTTAAACAGACTTTATCATTTTCTTAACGGATTTGCAAAGAACTGTATCTATCTCAGAATCTAAAACAGTGATATACTGTAAACCTAAAGGAATAGGTAAAGGTTTATTCCATGCTGAAAAGAAAGTCACAACATTTTGACTTCGTAAACTACTGTAAACTTAGATGAGATCTTAATACAGGTCCCTGTGGTACTTTATTGAATTAATCACAACTGCCTATTTTGAGCAGTCAGCCCTCATTAGTACCATTTGTTTTCTATCTATTAACTAGTTATTAATCCAAATTATTCATTATTTTGAAAGCCTTCCATCTCCAATCTGTGAATGAATCTTTTATCAGAAACTTTATCGAAAGCTTTCTGAAAATCTGCACACTCCATGTCACATGGACTCAGACCAAAGAATCTTTGCTCTGTCTTTGTCACAATATGCCAGGCCCTAGTGGAAAATTTTGCTTGATCTTTTGGGTTCAAACTTGAGTGCCTGATTCATTCTTGTGAAATTCTGGTAAATGCTTTCCTTAACAGAGCATTGAAAGTTCTGTTATAGGCTGAAGAAAGAACAATCTGAGTGTGTGCACTTTGAAAAACAAATGTGTTTACTGGCAGAAGGTTCATGATGACATCAACATGTGCCATAAACAAATATATTGATCATCTCGATTAATCAACATATTGTAACAAGAAAAAACATACTGTAGCCTAAAAATAAAGGTTATAGTTTATTTTGGTAACATAACGTGAATTTCAGACCTTTTTCTTACATTTCCCCTTTGAATTTGAATGCAAAAATGATTTCTAGAAAGGTAGTGATGTTATTTGTTGAATGCTACCTGTGAAGGATTTCCTCAGTCCTTCCAAAATAAGTTCTCAAGAGATTTACACTACCGAATTCACTAGCAAATTTTCAGGAGAATATTGTTCTCGCCAAACTGTTTATTCAAACACAATCACTGATACAGGTACTGATACAGGAATTGGGCTTATTGAAACTCTATCTGCAAATGGATACTGGATTTCCTGACAGGCATATCTCAGTTGGTGAAAATTCATAACAATATCTCCTCTACAGTGATCTTAAACATTGGAGTACTGCTGTCTCATTCCTAGGCTATACTTCGTGTTCACCTACAGTATGACTGTATAGCCAGTTACAGCAGCAACCACATAATTAAGTTTGCAGATGACACCATTATTATTGGGCTGATCAACAACAGCAATAAGTCTACATGCAGGAGTGAGCTGAAGCATCATACAAGATGATGCCTTGACAACAATCTGGCCTTAAATGTCAACAAGACAAAAGAACTCATTGTGGAACTCGAGATATAGAGGGAGGCACGCCCCAATCAGCATTGTTGGCATAGCAGTGGAAACTGTCAGCTGCTTCAGGTTCCTCGGCCTGCCGACTTGGTCTCACAACACTGTAGCCAGTCTGAAAAAGAGACAACAGCGCTTGTTTGCTTACTGCTGTGCTTAAAGAAATATGGCATTGGGAAGCAGTCCCTCCTGAACTTTTACTCCACCAACATAGAAAGTATCCTCACTAGGGGCATCACTGTGTGGTACAGCAGTACTACCATGCATGACAGAGATGCACGACAAAGGTTTGTGGCAACGGCACAGAGGATTATAGGATATGATTTACCATCATTCGGTGAGATCCACACCATCCGCAATAAAGACCAATCCATCATTCAGGATCCCAACCAGCTCGGCCACAAACTGTTCTCCCCCCTAACCTCTGGCAAGTGGTACTGCACTAGACTTAAGAACAGCTTCTATCCCACTGCAGTATGCATCCTCAACAGCTAAATCCAGTGCCTAAATACATCTGCACAAAGCACTTTTTGCATGGTTTAACATGATGTTGTTTTTTGGTCTCATTACTACTACTCATTATTTTTCCACAACATATTTATTGTTCCTGTCGTTTGCATTGTGTGGTGTTGTCTGTTGTACTGTGTATGTCCTGAGAGAACAGCGCAATTAAGAATTCCAATGTAGGTGTAGATATGGCAATTAACTCCTCTACTGTACTACTCTACTCAGAAGATGTCAGAATACAACCTCATATTTTCAAAGGGCAAGATCATACATTTCAGGATGTAATGGACTGTGTGTAAGCATATTAATGAGCAGTGCTCAGTGCTCATTTTTTAGCACCTGGAATCAAAGTGAGCAAGAAGCTGTTTCACCGATATTAGGGTTGATCAAATCTAATTTTGACCTCTCTCACAGACATATCTACATATCTTAGAATGAATGCACAGTTCTGGCTCTGTGGTCTGGCTGTTGTGATTGGATGAATAATTAATTAATATTCATACCCAGGAAATTCTCTGCATAGAAGTACCTTTATTTTACAGACGACATTCCTTGTTAGGAGGTGTAAATTAATACTTAGATATATACCATAAGCAACTAGAAGGGTTTGTCATTAGGTGTCTGTACTGTGAAATGCCAGTGTGCCAACACTGTTTCCGTGTGTCTCCAGGTGAGGTGATGGTAAATGGCCAGCGGGAGACCCTGCCTGCAGTGACAGGGGATTTATCAGTGATTCGAGCCTCTTCCTCCTTCCTGCTGATCCAGTCATTTGGAGCTCATCTACTTTGGAGCCTGGAGGGGCCCTTGGCCCTCATAACACTGCAGCCCGGTTTTGCACATAAGGTAAGACACACAAGAGAACAAAAATAATTAGAACTCAGATCACCAAAATGGATGTTTACTCAGTCAGACTGCATTTGAAACTCATGGGTCTCTTCATCAATGCTGAAAGCACTGGTGCTCATATGTGGAAAATAGGTTTTCTCAATGCAATATTTACAAGAGCTAATTCCTACATTTTTTTTGTTAAAATCCTAGGAATTTACACTGGCATAGTAGTTGACTCTTAATGAAATAGAAATGATAATGATACAAATGCAGTCAATGCAGTTTCTTTTCACTTATAAGCATCGCAACTTTATACTGTAGCAATAACAACAACCAATAAGAATAAGAATAATCCTATGTTAAACATATGTTCCCCACAAACTTAAATAAATGTTCAATATAAATCTAAAATGTTCAATGTTGTTATTGTAATAACACAGAAATTAATATGTTCAAGTAGGTAGCCACATCAGCATGCATAGACTGCAAAGGGACAAGTAAAGGTTTATTCCATGCTGAAAGGAGACAAAAATAGACACTGTTTCAGCTGTGGTGCCTTCTTCAGGTGTGAGAAAGAGAGGGAAGTCAACAGCTGATATACTGTAGCATAGGAGAACAAAAGCCGGGAGTGAAGAGGAGGTGGGAGCGGGAGGGATGCAGAGTGGGCACTCAGGTGATGCGAAGTCGAAAGAGGTAAAGAGAGGTGTGAAGTAGAAATCTCCAAATGAATAGAGAGGATTAGAAGGAAACAAGTCTGTTGTTGAGAGAAGCCAGAAGGTGTGATCCTAGTTCCAGGATAATTTGTGTTTTGGATGTCTTTCTGCGATAGGAGTTGATAAACCCTTCTTTGAGAACGCAGACAGAGGGATCAGTGTGATCATGGCTGCTAGAGTTGAAATGAGAAACTATGGGATTGGAGAAATCTTTGATCCTCCCAGCACTGACCTGTTCTCTGAAGCGGTCTCCCGGTCTCCTAGCTACCTACACTGGAGAAACAGGAAGGGGACTGGGAGACCACTGGAGAGAACATGTCAGGGTTGTTTCCACCCCTCTTCACTCCTGGCTTTTATTCTCCCATGCTAAATCAACTGTTGACTTTCCTCTCTTTCTCATCCCCGAAGAAGGCTCTACAGCCAAAACGTCATGTTTCCTTTCTTCTCAGCATGGAACAAATCTTTACTTGTTCTATAAAAATTAGTGACCCATTTTTGCACAGATTGCTAAACCTGGTAGGTGAAGTCATTTGATCGGGAATCACCGTTGGATAGATCTGATGTGTGCCGAGAGTTCATTTCAGTTATTTCATCTCAGAACTCTCTGTACCTCTGTCTCTGTACTCTCTGTACCACCTAAAATATAAAATTGCATGTTTTTAGCTTCCATCACTAGAAATGCCATGTCTGCATCATCTATGGGAAATTCACATGAATTTTAAACACAAAGATTCTAGAACAAAACACATAATGATTCATTATTCTCTAATATAAATGTAAATGTTCAGATAAAACCCACTGATGGTTAAATTCATTGTCATGAATAGTATTCCTGGAAATTTAAAAAATGAATAGAAAATCTATATAAATACTGTAAAGCAAACTGACAGACCAGGATTTGTCTGTAACATTATAATTGTCCATCTTTTCCATCATTGAAAGCATTATTTGCTTTTCTGTATGCACAATTTTTAACATCCCAAATTTCATCCCAAATTTCTGTGTAAAAATATTAAAATAAAGCTTGAAACCTTTCCAATCAATCGACTTAAATCATACATCCCAGGAAGCCGGACAGTCATCCAATTAGTGCATAGCTGGTGTTGCTTCTGTTTCAATTGCAATTGGGGCAGTCTGACAGTGTTCGCGTTGCTGTCTCAGGTTCGAGGACTATGCGGGACCTTCACGTGGAGCCAGCAGGATGACTTCACCACTCCCGAGGGGGATGTGGAGACCAGTGCCGCCGCCTTCGCTGCCAAGTTCAGCACTGGTCTGCACTGCCCCCCAAGCCGTGGTCATCCCCTCGATCCCTGCAGTACCTACACGCAGAGGCGCCAGCACGCAGAGGAAGTGTGTGCTGTCGTTCACAGCTCTGTGTTCCAGGTGAATGGAAATCCTAGGTGTCTGCATGAGCCTGTTACTCTAGAGCAATGCAAGCCTGTGTTAAAACCTCTTATTATGAGGTCAGGCTGTGGAAGTACTTTAACTCTCTGGTGCTGTGATAGAATTAGCTGGTACTGTATACAGAAGATTATTAAACTAGAATATTAAAGTTGAACAATCTAGTATCATCATGTAAACTGGAGAGAAGGCTGGATGATAATAAATTATGTTAAAGTATGGTATTAACATTAGCTACATTAGAAGTTTGCACTTGATTTTACAATTTTCAATTTAATTAACAATGGATTCAGAATATTGTTTGTTTTTTTAAACATAGGCTTCATGTTTCCAATGAAGGAGGGCTCATTTGGCATATGTGCTACGTGGACTGGGGAAAGAAGCTTTTCATTTCTTTGGGCAAAAGGTTAAAGCTTTGTGGCTTAATAGTATATGCTTTTGTTTGAAAAGGTGTCAGAGTGAGTATGAGAGTAGGGTATTAAAACTGTGGAAATGTATGTGTTTTATTTGTCTCTGTAATCGTCTGCAGCCATGTCACGACCTAGTGGATCGCGAGCCCTATCACCGACTCTGTCTGTATGAAGTGTGTGGCTGCACCCCTCCTAGGCAGTGCCAATGCACTGTCCTTACTGCCTACGCTCGCCACTGTGCCCAGGAGGGGGCACCGGTGAACTGGAGGAACCAGACCTACTGCCGTGAGTGTCTGAGCACTGAGTGAGTCACCTGCAGAGATGACTATATTACAAGAAAAATCCCCAAATAAATTTCCATGGGGTTAAAGTCAGCCATCTGTACTAGGCTTATATACTGTGATAATGAATACTGTAAATCCCCCAAAAAATTAAGCCTCAAGCTCTTGTCAGATTTTAGTTGGTTCCTGTTTTATTCTAATCAACTGGCCAGATTTAGTGAAGTTGACAACTCTCTGAAACCCTGAGTTTCATTTGGATTTTCTCTCAAGCTTGACACACAGTCTACAACTTTGATGTAATGTTCAAAGCAGTATTTTTATAGTGTGTCTAAAGTAGTACATACAGTATTAAAATGTTCTACTCATACATGCCTTTATTTAACTTAAGAAGTCAATTATATGACTGTCTAACACACACAGACATGGCCCCTGAACTTTATCCATTGTTAGAATGCCATGTGTTTTGGGGGGATTTTAAAGATTTATGTACAGTATTTATAAAAAGAATAGTGAAATATATGCCTGCACAGATGGTAAATCTGTTCTTCTGTAAATCTGATGGGGATACCAATACATTTTTATACAGGAAGGAAGTAAGGAGCAGGTACTACATGACAGAGCTTGGCTCTCTAACTGTGAGTAGTGTCCAGCCACACGGATGCCCACAGCTCAGCATTTCTCCTTTGTTCCCCCACAGCGATGCAGTGCAGTGGAGGCCAGGTATATCAGGAGTGTGGTCGGCCATGTCAGGGCTCATGTGCTGACTTGCGTCTCACCCAGGGGTGCCCAGCAGAGGAGAGCTGTGTGCCTGGGTGTAACTGCTCCCCTGGCCTGGCAGAGGACGAAGCAGGGCAGTGTGTGCCAACAACCATGTGTCCTTGTGTAGAAGGAGACTTGGTATACCAGCCAGGCAGTACCATCCAAAAAAGATGCAACACCTGGTAAGTGAAATGGAAAACACATACTGGCCAAAGAATCACATACACAAAGTGCCCAGTACCACACAACAGACAGCAGAGTTGGGGATACTTGGGATATACTGTACTCCATTTTGGTACATGTTGTGGATGTTGTGGAAATGTGGATGAATTTCTTAATGTCTTAGAAAGTCTTAGAAGTCACATTAAACCATCTTGAAGACTTAAAACAGGTGCTTCTGACCTTGAAATGATTTGACAATTTTAAACCAATTCAGGTTGATAAGCAAGTCAAGAAGTCAAACAGAAGTTAAAAGTAGTAGAGAAAATAGGGAAAACAAAAAAAACTACCAAAGATAACAAAAATAATTTAATCAGAATTCTTTAAAAAGACCTTGATGAGATGTTAGGACCAAAAAGTTATTGAGTAACTAAGCACAGAAGAATGGATTTGAATGTCTCCTTAAGGAAAAGTCTGGAATTTCTGGACATGAAGAGAATTCTCAGACATGAAAGAAGAGGTGAGCAGAGAAGTCAAACAGGTGTCACACATTTCTGTACCTCACTCAATCTGAAGTTTCATCTTGATATAATGTACAGTAGGTGTAAAGCTGAAATACTTTCTAATGATTTCCTTTATAAATCATGTTCAGAGTTGGAAAGGTAGTGTATATAAATCACTGAATATTGACGCAAGCCAAATGAGTTTCAAAAGTTTTTGTTTTACTCCTGAGAAGTAATGAATTGAAATAATTTAAAGGTGTTGATCTGACAGGAGAAAAAATTGTAGTTTTTGAAAGGTACTTTTTCAATTAAAATGTATACTTTTTAACAATTGGAGACAGAAAAAAAGTGGAAACCATTTAGCATTTAAGTAAATCTTAGTGAAAAACAATTTTGTGTAGAAAATCCCTTATCTGATTTCAGTATACAGTAGTAGATATCAGGGCTCTATAAAAAGAAATAAGACTATTCCTTAAGAGTTTCAGGCATACAGTCTACATCATGTTTCATGTTTCTTGTTACATTTAATCATTTCTGCCCATTAGCATTCTTTCCTTACTACATTCTTTCCTTACTACTAAACGTAGTAGAGAAAATAGGGAAAACAAAAACATAAAAAAAAGAATTTGTTTCAACAAAAGTCTTCTCATGCAGACAACTGCTTTAATATACTGTAGCCGGATCTTGTCAGATCTCAGAACCAAGCAAATGTGTGCCTGCTAAATACTGGAATGAGACAACCTAGAAACCCCAAGTTGCTGCTCTTATTGGTGTTGGTTGATTAATAGGTAGTGCTGTTCCCTCTGCACCAGAATCTCTAAACCAAAGTGTGGATTCTCGGGGACACTGAGATGCAGGAGTTGTCCTTGGATGAAATGTTAAACCAAGGTGTGGTTACTTGGTTGTTAAGAACCCTCTGCAATTGTTCAGAAAAGTAAGGGTATTAATCCTGGAGTTCAGACTGTATTGTTCTGGGCTTGTGCAATCTTCTTAATCTTTCTTTTATTTCAGTTGGTAAAGCAGTTTCCCATTTTTCTGGGCTGCTCTGTGGTGGGGCTGCCATAAGCAGAGTGGCTGTCATGCATCACCATGAGGTGATGAAGTGGTTCCACCTTCTATAAAGCGCCAGGTTCATTTGGGATGAGATGCTACTGTACTATATAAAAGCAATTAAATAAAATAAGGATTGCACAATTGTTCAGCCTCAAGTTTCAAACAATACTTACACTATGTACAAAAATAAAACAGAAAGAAAATCATATAAAGAAAATACTTAAAATGCTTTATATTCTATCCTTTGCTGTCCTTTAAGCTTTGCCAGTGGCTTGCAAGCAGAAACATTTTTAACCATGCATCATTTTAACCTAACTTCTCTAGCATTCTGAGGTTAAGGGTACTGTACATACAGTACTGTATCTTCAGGTTATTCCTCAAATGTTTCCAGAGTTCAATGCAGCTTACACTGTGACATGATAACGGATCAGTCAGAAGCCTTACATCTTGGTGGATCTGTCCGCAGGCGGCTGAGGGAAGTGGTATGAGAGCTCTGATGAAATCACCCTATGGCCTGTCTCCTGTGTCCCCGGGATAGGTTGATTTCATTGCATTTCTTTACCACGTGGCAGCTTCAAGTCCCTGAGGCAGTTCAGTGGCATGTACTCTAGCTGGAATATTTGACATGCAACCCCCAGGTGAAGTAATGGTCTCTGTTATTCAAACTCGAAACCAGCAGATGATGGGAATCTTGCCTAGAGATTCCAAATGAAGTGTGGAAGAGAGCAATGCCAATGTAGCCAGATATTAGAAAGAGATTAGAAAATATTTCCTATAAAAGAAACACACCAGAAGCCTTAATTCACACATTCCCCCAGAACTCACTCATTCTAAATCTTTGAAATAATTATAGACTGCTGCAAGGGCTATTTGAAATGCTGTGTTCACAAACCCTGATAAGAAACCTTAATTAAACCATGACATGAGTTTTGAAACACAGTACTGTATTTCTTTAAACTAATATGTTAACAGTTAACATTTCTTCTTTACTTCAAATACTTGAGTTCATTATTTTCTAATATGACAGGGAGAAATAGCAGATCTGCCAACTATGAATAGATTAATATACACAGAAAGGATGAAATAACCCTATAACAAATAGCTTCCACTGTTATATTGTAACTTGACTGTCACGGATGTCGGAGAGGAAGAACCATAGAATGGCAGGAGAGCAAAAGACGGGGATTAGCCCAGGCTCAACTGTTCAGGGAATGCCGTATAGAAACCTATGCCCTCAGGTAGCGGACGTGGGGCGACCTGGTGCTAGGCGGGTTTCAGGACATCCGAACATCAATGCTGAGCCAAGGCAGACTGAAAGACCCGGAAATATATAGGCCCAGAGATAGAGAAACACCGGAAAAGAACAGTGAGAGACAGGACAGAGGAGGAGCACCCTCTAGCTGCAGAGGGCGTAACACTGACTCAACAATGTACTCTCTCATGATGCTTACCATGTAAAATGCAGCACTTTCTTAAAATATTTATTTATTAATTCATATGGCTCAAGGGTAGCCTTTCATATTCATCTGACCTCACTATTCCAGCCAATATCATGATATTGGATATTGGAAGATGAAGATCCCTGGAAGACTAATCTTTAGTACAGTGGCCAAGGAGTCCCTACTGGGTAAGATGTGATGCATACTGTACAGTATGTTCCTAGACAGATGGGTTAAGCCAAATTGAGTCACTGCAACCAAATAATAAAATGTTTCTCTGATAATGGTACATTTTTCAAAAGTAAAAACAAAAAGTATTAGATATGACTAAAATATGAACATAAGAATGGTCACAAAAAAAGTAAGCTCATAATTCCATCTGGCCCATTTGGTAGCCAGTAACTAATCCATTTCTAAAGGATCCCCCAGATGGTGAAAGCCCAAAGCCCCTAATGTAGGTTTTAGAACCTGTATTTCACGTGATCAGGTCCAGATTATTTTTTTAGATCAATTGAGCAAACCTCTGTCATACTTCATTGTGACTGCTTTGTGGTGCCTGTGAGTGACCTCTGCATACTCGTTAAGTTAATCAATGACCGAGTGACCTTCGGTGGTTTGAAATTCTCCTTCAAAAGATGACTGTGCAGATTTTCACTCTTCTCTCAAAGTGCTTAAACATCGTCAAAATTGTTGTGAATTAATATACCTGTCCAGCCTAACCTAAAACTTTCATATAAAGTACTACTAATGCTAAAAAATGCTATACATCGTTTATTAGAAAATAATTGTCCAAAAGCACAGGAAACACTACCAGACTACCAACATAGAAATCTTTGTTCAGCTCCTAAAGAGGAGACTTTCTGTAGTTTTCCCCTTATATTCTATAAAAATATATTTCCATAGTAAAAAAAGTACTTTTGCTAAACGTTTAAAAGTTGTAATACAGTCTCAAGGTAACATTTTGTCCTTTACTGAGGTGAGTGTCTACATTCAAAGAAGTTTGTAAGATTTAGTTTCTCATCAATACATAGATTTCAGTTGACTAAGATATGTTTCCAGCTCTTACCTATTAATCATGCATGAACGTACTTTATTCATGCCTTGATGCCATCAGGTCATGTGAGCTTAGGCTTTAAATTATGTTCTTGCCTGTTAATCAAACATGATCACAGTGCACCCTTAGCACTTCAGTAGAGTTTCCTTGGCATGTACCAGAAAAATAAACAGAAATACAACTCTAACAGAGGAATTCCTTTGAAATATGAACATACCAAGTATGAAACATAATAATTCTTTTTCCAGTCTCATCATAGAAAATTTCAGATAGTTTAAGACACCTTAAAAAAAAGATCAACATTTTTGTATGGAATTAGCCAAGTCCCAGTTATGTTCACTAAATATGTTAAATCAAAGCAAACAGGACTACAAAAAGAGAGACTGTGCTGGACCCAGCTGGACGAGCTCCTGGGATCAATACATTGGCACCAATCAGATGGTTGTGACAGGAAGACTAGATTTTTCCACTGGCTGTTCTATTTTGTCTTGGAAGTGCTGAAGTACTATATAGTATTGACTTTTCTACTCTTTCCTGTTTCCATCTCTCTCTCTTTGCAGTGTGTGCCAGAGTGGAGTGTGGAACTGCACCACGCTCAGCTGTCTAGATGTGGTGGAATGTCCCGGGAGCCTGGTGTTCTCTCCTCACTCTTGTTTGCGTACCTGTGCCAGTCTGGACGTGCCCGGGCCCTGCACAGAGCCCCTGCATGGCTGTGTCTGTCCAGAGGGAACTGTGTTCCTGGTCAGTGCCCAGCAAGAGCAAAACATTATTTCCACAGAGAAAGACAGTTATTACAAAGAAAAGTTTACGTGCCCTCTTATCTTTTTATATTAAAGCAGAAAATTTTCCTTACATGATGTGTTTTGCCAAGTATAACATCAGAATCACCTTCAAGTTTAACTAAAATATCCTGATTTTTACCCTCTTTGTACTTCTGTCTCTTGCCTTATTGTGTACTGTGTTATACTTTTGTCATCCTTCTCTTCCTGTACTCCTACTCTCACTCATACCCTCAACCCATCCCTGTTGAAATTTGCAATAACTGATTGAATAAGTAGTATTTAATCCTAAACTGGATTTTATTGAATGAAAATAGTATAAGCTCAGTAAGCAGAAGAGACAACTAGATTATGCAAACAATGGCTAATGACATGATGGCAACATTGAAAATTGTGCTTTCATAAACCATGTTGGCCTTCAATTTGGCTAGAGATTTGGCTGCAGAGCTTGAGAATCTCTATTATGAGCTTGTTGTATCTCACCGAAAGTTGTGTCTGTTCATTTGCAGGATGATCAATGTGTCTCCCCAGCTGAGTGTCCCTGTCATCACAATGGCAGACTATTCTACACCAATGACACCATTACCAAGGACTGCAACACCTGGTGAGCTCCACGACCTCATCTTCCACACATAAAGTCTTGCAGTCGTACACAAAGCAAGGAATTAAAAAAAAAACGTTGTTCCCTGTTTTGTGAGAGTTGAATTGAAAGGTGCAAGAAAGATGGAACATTATATTTTATGGAAATAATTCTCAGATGAAACAAAGAATTGAATTTGAACTTGAACTTTATTGCCATATGCAACCGGTGAATGTACTGGTACATTGGAATTCTTAATTTGCTTGGGGACTAAAACACTGGAGCAACAAATGATTACAGTCTTCCTGTCATCTTATAAAACACATGTTGTTGCACCTTTTACAAACAATTGGTTCTCAATATTTCATGTGTCCGTCATTTGCACAGAAAATGTACTATATTCAGCACATATTAGTTTGGTTTTGGTCTTATAAGTGGTCTCTATTGGCATGGAAAAAAGATAGCAAAGAACATTAACATTATTGAGACCCAGAAGTACATGCCTCCATTTCAATGTGGAGAAATGTTCACTGGTGTATACAGAACAGTGGAAGTACAGCCTGCCTGCTAAGAAAAAAACAGTTAAAATCAGAGAAGTAGTGTTTTAAGGAATACATTGTGGTAAATTTCACCCACAGTATCGAAAATGAATGAACTCCACCTACAAGAAGTTCTATAACGCATGCAATGGATGAAACCCTTTTTCATTACCTCTTTGCTTGATTGCTTTCATCCTCTCTCCCTGTCTTGTTTCTTCCTTCCCTCTCCCTTCTTATCTCTCAGTGTGTGTTCTCAGCGCCACTGGCACTGTGGGCGGTCCTTGTGCGCAGGGGTGTGCATTGCAACTGGCGACCCTCACTACGTGTCATTTGATGGGCGCGCCTTTTCCTTCTTGGGCGACTGTGAGTATGTCCTGGTGCAGGATAATCAGGGGCTCTTCATCCTCACAGCTGAAAATGTACCCTGCGGCACCACAGGGGTCACCTGCACCAAAGCTGTCACCCTGACGTTGGGGAACACTGTCATACACTTGCTGAGAGGTGAGAAGGGCAAGGGGGAGAGTGGAGGAGGGAGAAGGGGATGTATAGAAGCCAGACAAAGGAAAAGGAGAGTGTTTGCACTTGGGGGACTAGAAAGACATTAGAGGAGAGAGAGGAGAATCAGGAGGGGATAAAGAATGGAAATATGAGGGCCCCCTTTTTCCAACTCTTTACCAAGTTTCCCTAGCACCGGAAAGCTCCAACCAGGAAAGGAGAGGATGCACTACAATAGGAAAAGACAAAGACTCTAGAAAAGAAACTATAAAGGTTTTATTTTAGATGTGTTCAGATTTTACCACTGTGCAGTATCACAAAATGTTTGTGTTGCCATTTACTCTGTTGTTCATACAGCATGACAAGGTAAGATATGTGAGGACATTGAGAGGGATAACCTACATAGTTTTTAATGATTTTAGAGCATGTACGTAGCATGTAACTGACCAATCCCACCCTATCCCCAGCAGCGTTTATCCCGCTCACAGTTTGCTAGTGACATGACCTAAACTCAAACTTGTGATCACAGACTTTAACCTACATCTAGACAAAAATATCTCCCCCATCGAGGCACTGAGAATGCTCCCTTTGCCAACACTTTAATGCAAGTAGTCATTTCTCTTTATGTTGCAACTCCTTTATGACACAAAACTTGATTATTAGGATTTTTTCAATGCCTTTCCGAGATGTATGGATACAAACATAGAGGAGTGTTTTGTGTTTTCTCTACAGATGTACCTTAGTTGTGCATCTTATCTATATTTATGAGTTTCCCTGTCTCACTGTTACTTTGTGTCTACAGGCCAGTCGGTGACAGTCAATGGCTTACCAGTCTCATTGCCTAAGAGCTACAGTGGGAATGGGCTGAGGCTGGAGCATGCTGGGCTGTTTATATCCCTGTCCTCCTCACTGGGTCTCACTGTGCTGTGGGATGGAGGTATGGCAGCTGCAGAGACACCCACAAACACCCACAACAGAACCACTAGTTAAAGCTGACACATAGTTTCACAGTGAGCCCTATCTGAACAGACAACCATGCCTAGAAGACTTCCTGCATTCCTTCTGAGTAGTCTTTCTAAGAAGGTCCACAGGAGAAGCTGTATGTTTTAGAACGTAGTGAAGAGTGAGTGTACAGCATCTCATGCTCACTATCTACCTATCTTTCTATCTCTGGTCCAGACATATGATTTCTCTCAAATGCATAACAATGCAATAACATGTATTATAAAAAATAAGATAACTATAATTACAGTATATCGACAATAATATAACCTTTTTATAGAACATTGCAAAGGACAAAAAAGAAAAATTGCATCACATATGCAAGACATTAACTGCACATTTACATGTCTTCCTTTCTCTTCCCTGTTCTGAGCACCTCTGCTCCATCTCTGAGCGCTGTTTTACTCTCTTCTATGTTGCCTCTCTTCAGATGTTCCTTTTTTGCTAGTCCACTGCTTGCATTTTTCTCTAACCCTCCCTCTTTTCCTGTGCAGGTATGCGAGTTTATGTCCGGTTGGCTCCAGAATTTCGTGGACAAGTTGCAGGGCTGTGTGGTAATTTTGACGGTGATGCAGAAAACGACTTTGCCACGCGACAGGGCATCATTGAGTCCACCCCAGAGCTGTTCGGGAACTCTTGGAGAGTCAGCCCATCTTGCCCTGAAGTCACAAGTCACAATATCCATGAGCCCTGCATTGTGAGTATACAGAACAGGCACTCATCACCCTTATCATAAACCTTACCCTTACCCTGGCTTTCAAATAAGCTAATCATCATTTAATATTGGGTTTCATGAAAGGCACTCATAAATAAATGACCTAGGCCTAATCTTACTCTACTCTTATACCATCACTAACCCCAAATCTCACCCTAGTCAAAATCTTCCAGTTCTTTACTCTAAACCAAAAACATTAAAGATAACCATAACTCTTACCATACTAAGTGTTTGCTCCAACTTCACTAACTTTAATCCATACACTGTGCATAAACATTGTGCACCCTCCTTTATCAGGAACACCCACATCGGGCAACATGGTCAAGGAAGCGCTGTGCCATCATCACCCAAGAGCTGTTCTCACCTTGCCATGCTGAAGTGCCATGTCAGCAGTTCTATGACTGGTGTGTCTTTGATGCTTGTGGGTGAGTAACAACTGGGGTACATTTCTAGGAGGGGGAAGAGGTTTGGTAGCAATAATGATATTTGTATCTGTTTCCTCAAGTATTTTCACGTCCCTTCCTGTTTCTGCAAAACTTTGCAGTCTGAAGGCATACAGTATTTGAATATTTCGCAACCAAAAGCAAACCTGCAATGATGCAAACACATCATCAGAGAAACTGAAATATAAGTAATGGTATTTCATGAAGGTGAACATGAGAATTTTTCAGTTTAATTGTTTAGATTTTAAAAGTGACATGCATATTTTTTATAATATTGCTCAGTTTGTAGAGATTTTAGCTCCATGTTTCACTCTTACACATGTTTGAGGGCAGAATCATTGAGATGATACATTATAGTATTGCAATGTACAACTATGGTAAAACCAAATGAAAGCATAGTAACAGCAAGAGAACCTAGTGTTAAAAGGCAAAAATCATATAAAAAACAGAATTACTCTTCAAATGTAATGTTTTAAATATTTGTAGCAAAATTTGATGTCATGTGCAACTGGCTATGAATTTTCTGCGGGCTTCTTATCTCATAGTTGCGATTCTGGTGGGGACTGTGAGTGCCTGTGTACAGCCATAGCAGCCTATGCAGAGGAGTGTAACCGGAGAGGCATCTACATCCGCTGGAGATCACAGGAGCTCTGCCGTGGGTGTCTTGTGTACAATAACAACTTTCTCTTACACACTGTTCTTCGTACTAACATTCCAGTCTGCATACTAACACTCTGCATTCCTCCTTCACAAGAGGAAACGACACTCTGAATTTCAAAAGACACCAGACAAACTCCATAAGACCAAAACCTAAGCTCTTATCTTTATGTGGATGGTGATGCAGTTAATTACTGACTGTGTGTCATTGCCTCTTTCTACAGCTATGCAGTGTGATAATGGCCTGGTGTACGAGGCCTGTGGGCCAGCTTGCACCCCAACCTGTGGCAGTCTGGGACAAAGCCCTGACCCACACTGCAGTGCCCTCTCTTGTCTGGAAGGCTGTTTCTGCCCACACGGCACTGTCTGGCATGGTGAGACTACAGGGGGTTGGGGGGCCATGTTGTTTTGGTTTGCAGTCCAGCCTGAACTCTTAATGAGGTGGAATTAATTCATTGGAATCAATTCTTCACTTATTTGATCCATATTACCACAGTTATTATGTCTTTTATTTATTTAGCATTTAAAGTTAACCTTTATAAATTGATAGACTAACGATTCTATAGGACTAACGATAAATATCACTGATCTTCTGTACACAAATACACCTGTATTTGGCTTCAGTCTATCAACTTTATTGGAGTTGCTAATATAAATAACATATGATTTATGATAAATAATTGATCATTTCTGAGACTTCTTCATGAATCATATCTGAAATGCACTATGCACTAGCACTACAAAGACAGTAGTTGGTACTTATCAATCATGGCCTCCTCATAATCCCCATCTATGAATTGGCTTCATTACTCTGCTCTCCTCCCCACTAATAACTGATGTGTGGTGAGTGTTCTGGTGCACTATGGCTGCCGTCGCATCATCCAGGTGGATGCTGCACATTGGTGGTGGTTGAGGGGAGTCCCCATTACCTGTTACGCGCTTTGAGTGGAGTGTCCAGAAAAGCGCTATATAAGTGTAAGCAATTAATTAATTAAAAGGCATAAATCAAGATGAAGACAATAAAGTTTTTTAATGACAGAAAACAAAGAAATTGTGATGATAAGAGTAAAGACTTTTCCAGTTAGGACCATTGTAGAGAGATTGGGCATCACAAAATCAACAATATGGAATTCCTTGAAAAATATTATTACTATTTATTACTGGAGTAATAAATAATTGGCAAAGGTCAGGTCATACAAGCAGCCAATGACAGAAAAATCATTAGAGCTGTGAAGAAAAACTCTAAAATAACCATCAAAGAGATTGTAGACAATCACCAAGAAATGGGAGTGAAAATATCACAATTCATTAAATTACGAGATATAAACTTCTCAACAACAGCCAAATTAAAATTTGCAAACATTTTCAAAGATGAGCCACAGCAGTTCAGGAACAAATATTTATGAACAGATAAGAAAGTGTGAAGAAAGAGATGAACTTCAAATAAGCCTTATCTCCTCATCTCCACCTTAAAGCATTTTTGTGGTTTGGAAGCATTTGCTTTTTTTGGCTAGATAGAACTGGTCTAAGAACATATCTGGCTTCGATATCTGTTCGGATACCTGACTTCTGTTTTTAGTAATGTGTATGCAGTTGCAACATTATAATGACATTCCTGGGGAAAGGTGATCCATTGGGAGACTCTGCAGAATTAATGAGGCCAAAGAATTGCATAATGTATAGAGTAACAGTTTATGTAATTTAGAGGTGATGTCTGCAATCACTGCCCAAGACAAAGTCACTGGTAAAGTATTAACAACCAGATTAAATGGACTTTGAGTACAGAGTAGGGAACACAAACATTTACCATCTGGGGAAATTGTTGTTTTAAATCATTTGAGCTCTCATTGAATGAAAATTCAGGAGTGGCATAGAGCTGCATATTCCTGCTCAGAAATATCTTTACCAGTATTTCTCAGATACGGTTATCATTGGTTAATGTACAGCAGGTTTTATACAGTAGGTCTTTTTTAAAATATCTTCTTTAGAAAAGCACTGTTCTGACTCAAAAGCTTCATTAGTTAACTTACATGAATTAGAAGCTGAAGTTGAAGGGTTGTAGCTAATGACTTCTGCCATAGAGTGCAATGTGCTTGTTCTTTGTCTCTGCTACAGATGGCAGCTGTATTTCCTCCTTGGAGTGCCCATGTGAGTGGCAGGAGTCTTTGTATCCCCCAGGTGCTACTATTATCAAGGACTGCCAGAACTGGTGTGTCAAAGATTCGCCTGCAAACAGTACATCACTTTCATTTTATTTCATACATAGTAAATCTTCTTGGTGTGACATCTTAGTTTGTCTTTTTCAGATAGATATCAATGTGTTACACTGCAGCTATATAACTAGAGTTCTGCATTCAGACTGTGTCTGTTACATGGTCGTAAATAAAGAATCTGCATCACCGCTCTTCCTCAATTACTTCAGACCTTTTTCATGAGTACAGGTTTGTGTGCTTGATTTCACTGCACTCCATACAGGAAACATACCCCATACATTTTTGTTCATTCATTGTTGCACATAATTAAAATTATGAAATGAACACCAACATTTTGACCCTCAAAGGTGGATGTGTGTAATGGCTTGTAAAGAGTGAAGAGTAAAGAGTAATTTTTGCAATATTCAAAATCACTATATTTCTTTTCCCTAGCTTTGTCTCCAGGCAGTGATGTTGCAAAATTTAAATTGCACAGAGAGCCTGAAGCTAGCTTAACTGACAATTCAATTCAAATCCATGAGTTTGTTGCTTCATATTGACGGTGTTCATCTACTGGGGAAACAGCTGGAGAGCAGTCTCATAATACTCATAATACTCATAATGCTGCAAATCAGTCTGAAATGCCAGGTCCAATCCTACTGAGATAACAGCTGAAAAGTACTCAATCACTATAGATTATCTGTGTTTATTTTATTTTCTGGGAATCACAGCATGTTTCATACTAATATTGCCAATCTCTCAATAAAAGGTAATTCCATCAACGTGGCCTAGCACAATATTACATTGAATACATATACAGCTAAATGTGATTTGTCTCTAAATTTAATGTATAGAGTAAAAAAGATCTTTGTCTCTAAATTTTCTGTATAGAGTGCAGAGAAATAAAGCACACAATCCTGTACTCTTGTACAAGGTCCAAAGTAATTGAACATAATTTTTCAAAATTATTGAAATACTGCAGATCTGTGGGATTTTGTGGGTATTTATAGTATACTGCATATTTACACACACACTAAACACTCAATTTGTATTTACAGAGGTTGTACTTATGCTTAGTAACATAGAATAACATCCTGAAACCCTGAATCATAAAAGAAGCTTACAATTACTTGTGGAGGTTATCTAAATGACACAGGGAACTTGCCATACTGTAAATCCCCTCATGCTATAGGCTAATATTGACAAAATAGCTCCCTATAAACCCTACAAAGACAGTCAATCTTTTTTCAAAGAATAAATTAAGCATTATTCTTTTCAGGTTTTAGACATTTTCAGTAAAAAAAATGTTTCAGAGAAACTGCACCTCATACAGAAGTTGTAACAGTCAAAGTCTCTGTATATAAAGCTAACAAAGGTCTAGCATGCACTGTATACCTACTGTATGTGTAGATAAGGTGTGAAAAAATGTCTCTCTTTGTTCTCTGTGCTGCCCAGCTTATGTTCGGCAGGAATCTGGCACTGTGAAGGGCAGCCCTGCATCCCACGCCCCACCTGCCTAGAGTCGGAATTCGAATGTGGGACGGGACGGTGTATCCCTGCGCCCTGGTTGTGCGACAATGAGGATGACTGCGGCGATGGCTCCGATGAGTTCTGTGCCACCACTTGTGCCCCAGGGGAGTTCCTCTGCACCAACGGACATTGCCTTGAAGGATCCTTGCGCTGTGATGGGAATCCTGACTGCCCTGACCAGTCAGATGAGGAGTTTTGTCCACCCATTCACCCTGTGTGTCCACTTGGACAGTTCTCATGTGCCAATGGACGCTGTCTCCACCCAGAGCGTGTGTGTGATGGCCATCTGGACTGTGGCTTCGCTGACAACTCTGATGAAGCAGGTCTGTGTGACTGTGTGCAGCACTTACTTAGCGCTAGTCACTGTCTGTAAGCAGAGGTGCATATGTGTTTTAGTGCATTTGTTTTTCATAGTTGCTCAATATATATACTAGAATATACAGTATATATAAATCTACAGCATTCCTAGGTTTTTATTCCTTTTCATTCAAGTCTTCCTTAGCACTCTTTTCACCAATTGACTCCTTGTTTCCTAGTCTCTCCCTTGTTTTTTGATTGCCCTGACATTAAGACAGGCAACAGTAAATTGACACAAAAATACAATAAAACATAAACAGTTTTTTATCAGCTTTCAATCAAGTACCATTATACTGAAATAATACAGTATCATTATATTAAAATATAATAATAATAATATGATAAATAATGCAATTAATTTCACTAAAGTTAAAACTTTGATGGACAAATGTCACTGTTATGAAATGCTACTATAAAGGAAAATTTGACATTTCGGACTTTAAGTGTTTTGATCACTTTCAGTACTGTCATTTGTGAGGTGGGAATGCAGTTTTTCAAACTTTGAATTCTGTTGTGCAAAGAAGATGCCCCAGAAACCTGGAACTGACCTGCCTTGACCATTTTTAAAACAAAGTGGTTTGAAATGTCAGAATAGATGAGGAGGCAGCCAGCTGTGCGTTAGGACCCACACAGAGCACAGCATGTGCACCCCTCACTGGCCCATCTAATACCTCTTCCAGCAGCAACCTTAGTTTTTTCCCCAGAGGTTTCCCATCCAAGAACTGACCAGACTCACACCTACTTAGATTCAGTGGGTTGCCAGTTGTAAGTTGAAGGGTGATATGGCTGCTGACATAATAGGGTGGGGAAGGCATGGTACCACTGAGCAGAGAAGATCAGGGAGTTGCGTGGCCAAGCATGTCATCTGGAAGCTGCACAGTCCTGCTGGTCTGGTTGGTTGTTGTGAAGACATAGTGAGACTGGGGCAAACAGGAATTCATCTGGCTGTGCAGTTCCATTTCAGGATCAGGTAGTCAGGCTGATTCAGATAGTACCTTATTAGTTCTGATCAGTGGTTAGTGCTAAGAGCACGTCCCAAACTCAGCACAAAGCTCAATGACAGAGCATCTGACAGTAGGCAAAGCAGAGTTAAGTAACCTGGAAGTGATGACTTAATAAGCAGATGTCACCTCCTCCAAACAAGTTCTCACAGCACTAGGGGGTGTTTGACACTACATGTGACTGGAGCTGGTTGCCAAGGAGGCCGAGAGCTGCAAATTCTGGCTTGCTGGGGCATAACAGTTCAAGCACAGGGAGTATTGAATGTTCAGAATACAAATATCACAAATATCAAGGTTGGCAGACAGCCATCTTGGTTTAAAAGTAACAGAATTGTACAATTTTTAAAATGTTTTTTATTCAGGACTTGTTCAGTTAAGAATTTTAAGTAACAATTACAATTTCAATTTATATCCACAATTTATAAGGTAGACAGAATTTGTAGATGGTCAAGAAATGGCAGTTACTGTAAGTGGAAATTAGTTTTTAAGTTGGACCTCCATACCACCTATTGTATAATGTTTATTGTCAGCAGAAAGTCATCTGCCAAGTACAAAATAATTTGACTGGCCAGATGCGTCAGTGTGTTGGCTGTAAAGGAACAAGTAAAGGTTATTTCCATGCTGAAAAGTAGAAAGGAGAAACACAATGTTTCATCTACAGAACCTTATTCATGTGTGAGAGAGATAGAATGGTGGTGAGACTACAAGGTTGCAAACCTTTCAGAAAGTCTTCAGAAGGTAAAAGTCTACAGTATATAGTGGGATTTTAAAGCTTTCAGAAGAGTTTGGCATTGCATAGGATACAATACATCCATTATCCATGAATGTACCCCCCTTTTTCCATATCTGATGGTTTTGCAATGTCTACATGCATAGATGGGCACCCCATGGATATGGAAACCCTGAAAATATCACAAGACAATGAAGTGCAACACCTGACTACAATTTGATCGATTGGCATTAATTTAAGCAGTTAATATGAAAAAATTACATGTGTATTTAATTAGTCACTGATAAATATTATGTTGGCTCAATGGCCCTTCTTCATTACAATTCACTAAGCCAGGATTATTTAATATCTGAAGTACCCAAAACAAAGTTGTTTTCAAGCAAATTATTCCTTGAAGTTACCGGTTGTCAAGTGTCATAAAAAACAGGCAGAAGAAATATTGGTGATCTTCCATTTTGAATTAATATCGTTGCCAGTTTGAAGGAATTGAGATGAAGCGTGATTGCATTAATCCATAAAGCTGACAAATAGCTGCTATTGGTTTCCAGAAACCTAAGTTTCACACCCTTTGTGCATCATAATGTATCTTATTATCCTATTTTTTGCTAGTTCTTTCATTTGCCATGATCTTCCCTCTCTGTGCTTCTTCAGAGTGTGGCCTGCTTTGTGGTAACGGGGAGTTCCAGTGTTCAGGGGGTCGGTGTGTGCCATACACTCACCGCTGTGATGGACACGATGACTGTGGGGACCAAAGTGATGAGCGTGGGTGTGTTTGCACACTGGAAGAGCTGCAGTGCCCAGGGGGACAATGTGTCAGCCCAGACAGAGTCTGTGATGGACATGAAGACTGCCCCTCTGGCACTGATGAGGCCATATGCCCATCTGCAGGTACTGTACTGTCATACCAGGTTAAGCAGAATCTTTTAGTTTCTAAGGAGGCTTCTCAATTCATGATATGGTTTAAGGTGAACAGAAGTCCACAGAAATTCCCCCATCAATTGATATTGTATCATAATTTGAATTGATGGGGAAAATGTCTGATTATTTACCATAAGCTGACATTGACAACAAAGATGATTAAAGACATAACCCCTGCTATATAAATATAATCATACAACTTGACTAGAGGTGTGCATGTACTAAAAAAGTGTAACACCTTTGTTCTTTGGCTCTTCCCATGGGGAAGATATGCAGTGTAATCACTGAGCTGTGCTAATAAGCTAGAGGTTTTTTTTAATGGGTACAACTAATTATACACTGTTTTCTTAAATATTGACAATGAAGTGGCATTGTGGTAATGTACAGTAGTTGAGTGGAAATTTTACTGGAAGCAAATACTTCTCTGATATTGTACATGTATATATGGAACCAACAATCTTATAAACGGAAAACCATATATGGAGTGGCTCCCAAAAGTTTGTTCTATTGGTTTTTAGTCAAACAGCTAAGTTCAATAAGTTTAAAAATTTGCTAGGAAGTACAAAGTCCAGGAGAGTTTTGGAAGAATGTTTTATAGACCAATAAGACCAAATAAACTTTTGCTTCAGTGATGGAAAGGTTAAAATTAGAAGAAAGACATCACTATTCAGTATGAAAATTACCCACAACATGCAGCAAATGCAAGCAAGGACTTTAGCAAAAAAAAACAAGGTTAATTAGGTCAGTCTCCAGTTTTAAATCCAGTTGAGCATGCATTATACAATTACATGCTGAAGCGAAAACTTACAGTCAGAATATATAACTTAATGCATTAAATTAACCAAAGTACCTCAATTGATGTTAATGTGTGTGCTCTTTGATGGCAGTGACCTGTGGCCCTGGACAGTTTCTGTGTGGAGATGGAACTTGCATTGGAAGAGAAAAACTTTGTGATGGGCTGGCAGACTGCCAGGATGGGACAGATGAGAAAGATTCTCATTGTCAGGATGTTACTGTAGAGACTGTTACACCACGTCCATGGCCAGCTGTGACCTCCATGTCCCCTGTCTCTGTCCCTGGTAAGAGCAGCAGTTCACAGCCACAATGCAGTCAGCAAACATAGCATGGGGCAGAGAGCAAATTAAGGAGGAAAACAACATATACTGTATGTATGAATGGATAGATGGGCAAATGGACAGATCAGTGGACCAGATGGATGGACCAGTGAACTTATGGCTTTCTCTGTCTCTCTCCCAGGTGGGTGTGGGAGGTATGAATTTGGCTGTGCCAATGGTGAGTGCACTCCTCTGGGCTGGCGCTGCGATGGGGAGTCAGACTGTGCGGATGGCAGTGATGAAATGGGCTGCCACCAGGTCTGTGGGCGGAGCCAGTTCCGGTGTCAGAACAGTGGAGAGTGTGTGGACCACGAACACCTCTGCGATGGCACTCCGCATTGCCGTGACAGCTCTGACGAGAGCTTGGATAATTGTGGTGAGATGCTGGCCCTGACAGATGAGCACAGAGAGGGACGTAACAACAAACCATTATTCATTATCATGTCGTTCACACAGGCTCCCCATCATAATTAGAATGGGCATAATGCTTCCAAAATGCACCAACACTTGCAAATCCTTCTGACTTGGCATAGAAACAGCATGTATAAATACAAATGTACAAATAATTCCCATCCTTAATTTCACAAAATTAACTATGTCTCTACTTCCAGGGTAGTTACAGAGGACTAAACGGTACTCTCTTTCTCTACCTGAAGGGCAGTTGTCAAACACTTCAAGATCAGGAGCCGTAGTTAGAACTTAAAATACTGAATGTTTTTGACAGGAAACTGAAATATTGCATTTGGTGATTTACATTTATTTAAGAATAATAATATGTCCTAAAACCTTGCATTGTATTTCAGTTAACATTCACCTCAACGTCAATAAAATAATTTTTATGTTCTATTTATTCTACATTAAGACACAATTTGTAACTCAAGTCAGTGTTGTTAGTATGATGCTGTGGTGTTATAAATGTTATTGTCACGTACAGTTCTTTCCGGGCCCTATGCGTGCGACACAATCCAGAATAGTGAAGACACAAGGGGAAAAATGGTCATGCAGGAGAAGGGTCTGGAGACGGGGTGGCGTGTCCATGCAGTGCAGGAGTCCAGGGGAAGTGAATCCAGGCGAACAATCCATGTAGGAAATCCAAACAGGAAATCAGAAACAAGGGCTGAAGTCCATAGCCAGGCGATCCATCCGGTGGGGGAACCGGGTCGGAACCGGCGAGGGGAAGTAGGAAGTAGGAAGTAGGAAGTTAAAAACATAACGGAGCCAGACGCAGCAAGACCCCAGGCTCTCATGATGTGGAAATCAATGAGGAACCAGGAATCGCTTCAGGCTTTTAAGGGGGAGCGGGATTAGGGACCAGGTGCAGACAATGGGGCATAACAAGGAAGGGCTGGAGCACCCTTAAGAGGAGGGGTTAGCGATCGTGACAATTATGCATTTGTTGTGATATCTGCATCTGAATGTATTCTTACAGAACATGAAAGAGTAATAAGGCATGCAAGGTAAATTCAAAACACATACTGACAGAGAACAAACAGAACCGACACAGCCCTTAGTCCATATCAGTAATAAAACAGAGCAGTATTCAGAGTTCATATTTACTGTATTTGTTTGAAAAAAAATAGCATTAAACAGACAATCTCAGAGTAATTTTAATGTATTAAAAGTGACAGACAAGAAACACAGCAGAGCCCAATAACTTACTGTAAAACTGTAACATACGTTCTGTTGAAACATGGTTAAGAAAAAGACTTAACAGAAACTATTTGGAAACTGCAATAAAAATAAACAATAAAACTAAGACTTGGATAAAGGCACCTAATAAATCCAATAAGAATAATAACATAACAATACTCAAATGGATGTGCAGAACTCAAATTAGGTTCACAGGATCTAAATTGTCATGTTACACCAATGTGAAAATGATGGCAGGACTCTGACAACTTAATATTTGACACTGCACCCCCTCTGCTAAAGAAACAATACACTGGTTGGAAATGCTTAATGAATTGGATTATCAATTCATGCATTAAAATTCTGTAATAATAGTCTTGTAATACAGTATGTAACACACACGCATCAGACATACTGGGGGTAGAGAAGCTGGATCCCAATGTAAACAGAAATAAAATACATGAGGACAGGTTATAAACTCAACAGTGCTGCGGTACTTGGTACAGTAATCTCCTTTCTGTTGTTTCAGTGAAAAGACAAGGAAGGAGCTGGAGGTTTTAGATTCATGTCTGTTGCTTTAAGGCTGCTTATGGTGATTTAGAGATTCTGCAGGGGATGACATTAGAGATGGCTTCAAATAAGGTCTTATTTATTGTCTTGACGTTTTACAAAGAAACTTTCAGTTAGCTCACAAAAGCTGCACTGTGTGCTACAGAGAAGCATATTATCTAGAGCTGCCTCTGCACTCTGAGCACTGCGGGCTGTGTGTCACTGCCTGCCCCTGCTGTCTTTCCCTCATCCCAGGATCCACCCAGATCCCCCCCTGTCCAGGGAGCTTCCTATGTGATAACCGGGTATGTGTGAATTCGTCCCGTGTGTGCAACGGCGTGCCTGACTGCCCAGGGGGTGAGGACGAGCTAACATGTGGTGAGTACTGAAGCATGTGATCAGGGAGTGTAAAAATGGACATTATTCTTGAAAGTCTAGAGAGGTCCCTTCCAATGAATCTTTGGATGGGAGATAGATGCCAGCCAGCACTGCGGTGTGGTGGTTAGTCGGCGTAGCCTTCTGCATGGAGGTTTCTTGCTCTCACTTTCACTCAGGTTTCCTATGGGTGATCCAATTGCCTCCTACTCTCCAAAGACATGCTGATTAGGTTGATTGTTGTCATTATTCCTGTACTCATGTGAGATTACGCCCTTTAATGGAATAGTCTAGATTGTACCTGTCCACAGCCTTCTATTGGATGATGTCAATTCTTATTAGCTGGGGATATAGGAACTAATTCATTCTATGTGTTGTTTTGGTCTCTCCAGTGTCTTAATAACCCATTGCTTTCCCCCTCTACTTTCAACACACTCTTGTTACTGTGTGTGAAGAGCGTGCTCCAGTGGTCACTCCATCTCCATGACCCCAGTACTGGGATCAGTATCGATCCTGTAGTTAAGGTTACATCTCCTCTGAAAATCCTTAGTTTGACTATAATGTAGTTTTACCAACTGAGTCAGTTCAGTTGAATGTTTTCCGATAGTTTTATATACCTTTTTTTTAATAAAATACTTTATACAGTGTATATACTGTATATACAGTATAGAGTTCATGCCATAGGTCACTCAAACATTCATAGTCCAAAAACTTTCCTTTTTCAATCCTTTTTTATTGTTTTTGCAAGATATTGGCAATGACCTGCATCTTATAGAGTGTCGTGTGTTCCAAAGTGAGTGAGAATCATACCCACTGGCTTTCAGATCCCACAATGAAATATTGCTGTAGGTGATGTACTGTTTATAACTCATATTCCAAAACAGTGCTAACATTTACAGTACAAGCACTTTATTCTTGCTCCGCCAGAGACGGGTACTATGACGACGATCCCCCCATGGTCCAGAAATACTTCAACCATCCTCTGCCCAGAATACACCTGTCCAGATGGCTCCTGCCTCACCTTCAAACAGGTAACTAATCATCAAGTCATTTAGAAAAGGAGAAAAGGAGAATGCACACTGAAAATTGTGAGATGAGCATACTCTGAAGGCATTGGAAAGTGCTAAAGACATCAACATTTCCTCTAAAACAACTTTTCACAAGTGTCTTTTTCAAGTAGAATTTTCACATAAAAAAATATTGTCACCCTTCCACATGAACGGACGCCATTTGTTAAAAGTGATCAAATAAATAATGAATAATTTTATTTGCCTCAAATATCCAATATACAGTATAAAACAATTAAATTAGTTTGCTTTACTAAGTTTAGACCATTTTACACATAAAAAGGCTTGGAATCTAATTCCATATTCAATCATTAAGGTGTTAAAGTACTGAGATGAAAAATCCATATTGGCTCCGTGTTTAAAGGTATTTCAGGCCATATCATGTTTGGCATCCTTGGACCAGAATTAATAAACTCAAAAACACCTAAATATTTAAGACCTCTTTAGGACATTCTTCTCATTATTCCTACACAACAAGTATCTCAGCAAAATCTCAGCTATCTTGATGTTTGCAGAAAATACGTGTTTAAATAAGTGTTTGGCACGTGTCACACTACAACACATAAACAACTGAGTACCTAAGTCAATATCACTGGGAGTTTCCAATTATGACCGACATCAGTAACTTCCAAGAAAATTTTATTTACCCATAAAATTTGATCTTCCAATGGGTGGTGGTAGACTTCATTTATACTTCATCTTCAACTACAATATTTTTTAAAATACCAATCCAGGTTTGTTGGAGAACTCGACAAGCAAAAACAACAGATCACCAGTAAAATTAGGTTGAGGAAGGAATTTAAGCACATAATATTGCTGGGCTAAATGCCATTGGTAAATATGCATTTATGTGCTGTGACACACCTTGTGGTACCTCTTGTAGTGCTTGCCATAGCAATGATCTTTAATAAGTGAGTACCAGAAAAACACACAAACTTTCTCAGTCGCTTTCCATAGGAGCTAAGATACTTTCTAGATTGACCATAGTGCCTCTTCAAGACCAAACTCTTTCAGTCTGTCTGTCAGATGGAAAACTCAAGTTTACAGCGTCCATCCATTCATTCTCTGAACTCCTTCTTGTACTGATTCCATGAACTGTGAACAGTGGATATGACCTTAGTCAGTAACTACCTGGAAACCCATAGCTTCCTGGTGTTTAGATCATCATCTGAGCAATAGTTTTTCTACCTGGTCACATGACTGAGGGCATCAGGCTATGCCCCATAGCTTTCTAAGACATACACTGCCATCAGATTACATAGGTTGAACCTCATAAAAGAACTGTCAGATAAATCTACAGCACATTAGCTGCTGGACTACTGTTGAAAAGGAATAATCCTGTTAGGTTCATATTGTACACTGCGCATTCTGTGTCTTTTTCAACCCTGTTCACTTTCTCTATGGGGAACCCACATTTATTGTTAATACAATGTATTTTGCCTGATTTAGCAAGGACGTGTAATGAAATCTTTGCTTCATATTCTGTTTCATAATTTTATTAACATGAATCAATAACTTAAATGCACTGATACACTGATAAGTCCTACAGGTGCAGCACTGGTGCTTTGAGAACTGCCTGTTGTCTAGCCCTCTATTATGAAGTACGTATGTATTGTTGACCTCTCAAGGTGTGTAATGGCATTACTGAGTGTCCCAGTATTGCTCTGGGACAAGCCAGAGGCTCCTCAGATGAGCAGGACTGTGGTACATGGGGGGCCTGGGAGCCTTGGAGCCCCTGCAGCCACACCTGTGGAACAGGAACCCAGAGGAGGAGGAGACACTGCCACCTGCAGGACTCCCTGAGATACTGCAGGGGAGAGGACACCCAGAGACAGCAGTGCTTCTCTACTGCCTGCCCCGGTGAGTGAGAGAATGAGTGCATGTGTTCTCATAGTTGGGTTTAGAAATCTTTTTAAAAAAAATTGAAAACATTTACTGTTTACTTACATTTCTATTGACTTACTATTCTAATGTTAGTTTAGCAGAACATACTACATACTACAATGGAACAAGTAAAGGTTTATTCCATGCTGAAAAGTAATAAAAACAGACACAATGTTTCAGCTGTGGAACCTTCTTCAGGTCACAAGGTTTCATAGGTCAGATGGCTCCACCAGGCTTATATTACCATGTGTCTACTACTGCTGGGACAAATTCAACTGACTCAACATCTCACTGTTATGAGCAAACTAAAATCTGTACAATACCAATGAGATATACTGTAGCAATTGTGATAACAACTATGCTGTTCTGCATGGAAAAAACTGTGTTTTTGACCTCTCTTGGCTCTGTGTGTGGATACTTGTCTAACCTTGTGTCCATGTGACAGTGGATGGACGGTGGTTGCCATGGACGACCTGGTCGAATTGTTCTGGGGACTGCACTGGTATGGTAGTCCGGCAGCGGGGCTGTGTTCCTCCACAGAACGGGGGTGAAACCTGTGCTGACCTTCCAGAACAACCTGCCATTGCCATGGAAATAAGTACGTCACTCACTCTGCCTAGTGTTCTCTCCTTCTCTTTTCTGCCTATTGAATCTCTCAATATATCCATTTCTGCCTTTTTGCATCCTAGCAATCATCCTAGCAATATCCTTTTTCAATATGAGCACTGTTTATCATTGTGAACTTTCTTGTTTACTGTAGACATTTTTGCCTCATCATTTTTTTCTTTCATTCCTCTTGTTTTTTCTGTGGCTTCTTTCTCTTCCTTTAAATCTCAGACTTTTGGGAGGCATGCCATTGGAACACACGATCAAAATGTTATCACTATACAGTGTATGACCTTTGCTGACAATGTTGGACAGTGGCCCCTCTAGACATTTAAAGCACTAACTGCAAATTAACTCATAAGAAATCCTATGTCTCCAAAAGGTGTACAGGTTTTCTCTAGAGCTAAAGAATCCTAGTTCAAGTCCATACTGAAGATCAAATATATGCAAAAACACAAAATCATTGTTAATAATCTATTATAACTCACTGATAGAGTGTATAATCAGCCAGCAGTCCTGTGTCACTGACTAACTACAGGTTTTACCTGTTTGTTATTGTGTCTGCTTCCCTGGTTCCTCAGAGCCCTGTCCCCAGGAGGGCTGTCCTAATGTCTCCTCCTGCCCAGGAGACCTCACTTTGCGAAGCTGTGCCCCCTGCCCTCTGACCTGCGCTGACCTGGCCAGTAAGGATTCCTGCAAGTCTCTGACCAACTGCTTCTCTGGTGAGGGCCTTGAATAGGTGGGGGAATTGCCTGTAATAGAAAGATAGTGGACTCAATACATGCTTTTTAGGTGATTATTCACTTCTTCACACTGTTCTATCACTTATTTTTAAACATGGTCACAACAAGAGAACTCAGTTCTGCTTAGTTCAAAGTATTTGAATACTACATTAAAGCCAAAGAGCCTGTTCTTTTGTTATCTTTACTCAACCCAATTTTTTCACCTCCATCCCTATGTCCCTGTCTCTCGCGTTCTATTTCACCTCTGTCTCTCCTCTGTGCCTTCTCCTGTTGCCCCCCTCTCTCTTTCTTGCTATTTCTCTTTCTCTGCCTCCTTTTTCCACCCCCTCGTGAACTTCCTATTTCTATCATTGATTATCTCATTATCTCCATCCCAACCACACTGTGCAGGGTGCTGGTGTGCAGAAGGCCTGGTGATGGACAGTGATCAGCATTGTGTGAGGCCAGAGGAGTGTCCATGTGAGGTCCGGGGTGTGTGGTACTGGCCGGGGCAGCTGATGAAGATAGACTGTCAGATCTGCTCCTGCGAAGGAGGACGTCCCCAGCATTGCCGGCAAAATCCAGAGTGCTCAGGTCAGACCAGAGGTGAATGGTCATGTGTAGAGGGCAGGGGTAACCACAACAGAACTGTACCTAAGATTAAACTTTGATTCTTCTCATGTATTACATATGTATTTCTCCCTTTCAATTCTACACCAGTTATAGTGAACAATCTGTTACAACACTGCTGCCTTTGAGAGACATCTCAATCTCCTAATGCTTTGGTTGCAGTAGAGAAAAATGAATACATTTTTTGCCATGTTCACATTTTGTTATGAAAGTCAAATAATGTATACATTGCAAAGGAACATAACGGGTTCATTCCATGCTGAAAAGAAAAGAAAGCATGGAATAAACCCGTTACCTGTTCCTTTACAGCCTACGCATGCTGAAGCAGCTACCTACTTGAACTAATGTATACATTCAGTTATGAGCATTATTGAGGGGAATAAACGTTATCCTTAAAGACATAATTATTTCAGATGAAAAATAAAAATTGGAACCAAAAAAGCATACAGTTTGGCTAAGATAAATAGCAAACTAAGGAATCTGAAGCTCTGTGCTCTCTGCTGGATTATGCGCAGCTCAAGCATGTATTTATTTCAAGAGCATTGAAAATTTAGTAATTTTAGTCATTTCTACTTCATTTAATTTTCATTAACATTCATTCACATGTCATATTAGTCTATACAGTTTTACTGTCTTCCTTGCATAATAATACTGGTATGCAATTTACTTTGTAGTGCTAATACAGTAGAGGTGGTGGTCTAAAATATAATTGATCTGTATAGTTTTGTACTTTATTCATAATTCAGTAGGACTCAGAATTAAGAGATGACAAAGAGCAGTGCCCTGTATGCAGACATATACAGTAGTATAATGTATCATAGGCACAGGTAAGGGTTTTTCCATGCTGAAAGGAAAAGAAAAGAGATAATGATTTGTGGAGTCTTCTTCAGATGTATCATAGGACATCAAAGGAGGTGTTTTACCAGCCAACAAGGAATGATAAAGGACTGTCCGCACAATTGTGATATTTATGAAGTGCATTTAATCTTCTGACACTATAAAGAGGCTATATCTTTGGTCTTGTCATCATTATTTAGATTTAGAACACTGTAATTGATACAAAGAACAGGAGGCCATCTAACTTGGTTTTTTTCACAGTAATTTAATAAACCAAAGATATCAATGATTTCTTAAAAGATAAATTAAACATTTGGTGTAGAAAAATTCACAGGATTTTCACCAGCACAATTCTTCAGATGTCTTTGAAATGGAGGGGGAAGTTTAGATTTAATCGAGGTTTATACAAGGTAAATATAAGGAACACATACTACAAGTTTATGGACTGAATGTTTTGAATAATTATCAATACAATGTGCATATACAACTGTACCTTATGACTTTTCTGTTACTGTTACCACTTGACTTGATCAGCTGAAAAAACATTCAGTTCCAAATTAAAGTTGGGAAGTTCCACTTTCAGGGAGCCTGAGGAAGACAATGTTGTTGTATTACAGAAAAATCACAGTAAATCTAGGTCTATAAGACAAAGAATGTACAATATTGTTCTCCTCCAGGTTTCCTGTATGTAATTTTTCCTAAGCTTCTAAACAGCACTGTACTACATATTGACCACTGTGTGTATTTCCTGTTTCTGGTGGGATTGTTGCTGTAATTACCATGTCCTCTTCAGTGAACTGTGGCTGGTCATCCTGGTCACCCTGGGGGGAGTGTCTGGGCCCCTGTGGAGTGCAGAGTGTCCAGTGGTCATTCAGAAGCCCAAACAATCCCAGCAAACATGGCAATGGCCGACAATGTAGGGGTATCTACCGCAAGGCCCGTCGGTGAGGCTCATTGTCTTCTCTCTTATGCTTATTCTCTTTCTCTCCTCCACACACTGCTGTCTGCATTGCTGCCCCTGTTTTCACAACCAGTTTCCTTCTTTTCCCCTGCTTATTTTTTGCCTGAGACGAGGTCCCCGAGCTCATCCAAAACTGTGTTTGGTTCAGTGTCTACAGTATGTTATATGTGTCAGCTAGATATGTTAGTGATTGTATGATTATGTCTCATTCATAGCTGTCAGACAAATCCCTGTGAGGAGTGTGAATTCCATGGGCAATCCTATGTCATCGGCGAGCATTGGAAGATTGGAATGTGCCAGCTGTGCCAATGTCTACCCAACCTGACAGTACACTGTGGTCCCTACTGTCCCCTCACTGCTGGCTGCCCACAGGTTATTTCCACCATTATTTAATAAATACTATAATAGCCCCTTTTTACAGATTATCCTTCTAGGGAATTTGACATTAACAAGAAAAAAAAACTTCATATGCCTTTGTATTTATCTCTCAGTTTACAATCTACGGTATGTGCTATGTATTTTATCAATCTGTCTGTGTGTCTCAGAACATCCATGCCTGTTTCTGCTCATCTCATCTGTCTGTCCAGCTCTCTAGCTGCAAGTCTGTCTGACTGTCTTCCTTTGTGTTTCAGGGGCAGGTTTTAGTGCCGGGTGAGGGAGAGAAATGTTGCCACTGTACTGGATCAGGTAAACCCAGCTCCATCTCACTGCTGTGTGCAAACCTTTCACTGATTCTGTTGCTCCATTGAAATCTCAATGATCACATACATATGGGTAGCATTTTATCATACTCTTTGATCACGGTATTGATCATCATTGAAAACACCCATAAGAACACAACGTGACTTAGTTTAGGTGGGGAGCTGCGTAAGCATGTGTAGTCTGCAAAGGAACAAGTAATAGGTTTATTCCATGCTGAAAAGAGAAGAGAGAAAATACAACGTCACACCTGAAGAAGGCTTCACAGCCGAAACGTTGTGACTTAGTTTATCCTTTTTTAAATTACTACAGTATTTCATTGTGCTATTCAATCCAGAACTTAAAACATTTTCAAATCAGTATGGGATTGATATCTTTTAATTGTATTATTTAGTGCATTGAGAACAGTTTCAGTGAAATGCCTAACATCATCATCAATTTTGCAGTGAATGTTTCTATCACAAATGGGAATGGTTTCCATTTTCTTACACTGAAAGAAATTGAAAGTGCCAGAGTAGGCTGCAAAGCCCATTACTCAGACAGTGACAATGTGCATCTGAGGGTGACCTTCAGTGCCTGAGCAGTGGGTGTCCCAACTGGCCAGAAATGTCATATGTATAAGGACACAGAGTACAGACCTGCCAAAGAGACCTTGACTTATGCCTCAGAGAATTTGTCAGTCTACCAAAGGGCATGTCAATCTGAAGAGCAGAAGGCAGCTGGATAAAATCCCAGCTGTTGATGTCAGTGACCCAGCTGAACAGGTTTCAAATACATTGTGTACGTGCTGCAGTCGAGAGGTCATTGCTCTGTAGTTGAGTCAATGCCTGAAAAGAAATGTACAGTAGGAACATCCCTAAAGAAGACAACTGCTTGTGCAGGCAGATCTGCTGCCAAAATCTCAGCACATTAGTGGAGCATCTAATGACTTGTAAAAACTGGTTTGATTAGTTTAGCATGCCGGTTCTAAAGTGGAGACAACAGCGGTCAGCAATAGTCTGGGACGGCTAAAAGAGTGCTATGGTTTCATTGTTCAAGGTCATTCATAAATTGGGCAAAAATATACAAATGATAGCATTTGTTTATCTCCTCAAATAAAATTAATTAATATGAAGGTTAACCAGTTAAACCTGCTGTATAATGGTTTATTTATGACATGGTCTCCCAACCTGAATTAAGTCCTGCTGAGTTAATAAAGTTCTTGTGAGTTAATAAAGACCAAGGTTTATACTACAATATATACACTATACTGTAGTAAAGTGCAGGAATATGTTATGTTTAGGCCCTGGCATTTATGTTATTTTCATCAATGAGCTGCTGAAAATAGATGAAAGAAAACAAATAGCTTTGGAATCAAGATAATAATAATTATCAATACTCATATACTGTATACAATACAGTAAATTATATACAGTGTGTTTCTTGGCTTTGCCTCCACATGTATGGCTATGCAATCAACTGCGGATGACTGTTATAAAGCAAACAAGTACAAAACATATTTTTTTAATTACTTAAATTCTTTTGTTTGAGTTCAAAATGTTGTTTATTGCTGTATGCAGATCAATGCCCAATACCTTAGAGTTGTAGCATGTAGCAGTCCCTGTTCATCACTTGCTCAAGCGCCATAGCAACCTTATCCCATTATGGGCTACCCTCAAAGCCAATTCTATGCATACTGTTGTAATGTTTCATAGCCGTTCAGGGACGCCAAATATGTAAGAAAACCGGCTCAGGGACGCCAAATATGTAATCATAGCCACTCAGGGACGCCATAAATGTAACGTTGCCATAGCCAAAATGTAAATGTA